TGCTCAGCTCGCGCGGCACCCACCACTCGGTGGAGAACCTGGCCTACAGCCGGCACCAGAACTCAGACAGGTAAGAAACATCGCCTACAGCCGGCACCAGAACCCAGACAGGTAACAAACATCCCCTACAGTCGACAATGGAACACCGACAGGTAACTACGGCTGCAGAACTCAGGCAGGTAGCACCCCCTACACACACTAGGCAGCTGGTAACGACTCCTACAGAAAAGACAGGTAACAGTCCCTACAGAACACCCACAAGTAACCTGGCCAACGGACGGCACCTGACAGATGGGCAACTCCACCTTCATAAAACATCTGCTGCCATATGTGACTTACTCTGGGCAGATGATTGGTATTCATGCCACCTGATGATTCATGGATGAGGCCTATTATTGCCTCCTGAGGCCCCTTGCATCAAAGTACCTAACTAGGTAGAATCGAAAAACCGACATCAGAGTTAGCTAACCTGCCAACCTGAGTTAGCTAAGGGTGGTAAATTATTTTGCAACAGCTCGTAAGGTAAACTATAGGTGCTTGGTAGATTTTATAAGTAAATTGCCACGGTAGAGTCTTATAGTGGATATACGGTGCAACCAAGAAGTGGTGCAAGAGGCTGGGCTGGATGGTATATTGTTTTCCTCCAGTGACACCATCCGTACGTCACATTTCAGCGCCGAACTGACTGTGGATAATGGCAACCTGGATACGATCGCCGCCCACCGGTTTGGCTCTGAGGAGCAGCTGGTTATGCGGGAGGATTGAGAACGCTCGAGGTGGGGCTCCAGTGGCCAGACCCTGTCGGCGAAACACCCTCACAGCACCTCATGGACACCGCTGCAGTGAAGGGTGCACGCGGGCCTCGGTGCGAGTCACCGACATATATGGTAAACTGGGCATCATGTTTTACAATGCTTCCTCTCAGTGATTGTGTATGAAGAGAAGGTCGAATGAGGGAAAATTCAGTTTCCCAGTTTTAGACATTCAATGGGCATTTTCTTGTTTTAGGATCAATGTTTGTATGATGAATACCTATGATCTTATAGCTTTCGCTTAAACCAACATATTACTTGTAAATATATATATTGTGATACTTTGTGACGAATTTCATACACCGCATTTCGTACAAGGCGACAGTGAGATTCAGGAGCACCCGGCACTTGCTAATAACTACGGCACTCTGCGGAAGACAGGCCGGGGCATACTATGAGTGGAATGCTGGTGAGATTACATCGATACAGTGCAGTGATTATGCGTCGGATAACAATAAATAAATAACAAACACCTTTTAATCTTTCTGCGATAAAAAGTATTCAAAATATGAATGCAGGACAATAAAAACATGATAAAAAATATATTCTGGGAAAGTCCCCACAACCAAACATGGTCACGCCTCTATGCTGGTGCCAATATGGACGGTCAGTGCCGCACCTAACGGTATCAGCAGCCTGAGGGAGGGATCACCAGGAGCCGAGTCATCTCCCGGCGGCTGGCGGGGCTGGTCGGCTCAGGGGGCGGGGTGGGATGAGTGTGCGGGCCGCCGACCGCGCCGAGCGGTCCAGCCGTGCCGCTGCGACAACAGCTAGAGCTAGTAGTAGTCCGGCACGGGGGCGCAGACAATCTTCACAAAGTCGTCGTACTTGACAAAGCCGTTCGGCTGGATGTTAGCTTCCCGGAATATCTGGTCCACTGCGGTCAGAAAGAAAGGGAAGTGTAGGTATCAGAAGCTGCTGCCTACGGGTGACGTGGATTCGAACAGCGCATGAATGAACACAATGCGGTAAGCGCCACTGAAAAAAAAAACGGAATGGCACAGCACAGGACAATAATGCTGCTGCTATTTACAACGGGAGTAAAATCCTTTCACTATCGAGCGAGCCACACGGCGAAGTTAGCCAGTCGTGTGCAATGCGGCACAGACTACCTTCCCAGCGTTCGTCATGACTGCCATCTAGCGTCAGGATTGTGAAATGAATGGGATTCCAGGAATTTCGGCGTTTGGAGCCCATTTCAATATCTAACTATATTTGCTAGGTGAATATTTAGACATACAAGTGCGAAATATGTGCACGTTGAACTTGGGTCAAGCTAATGACTCTGAGTCGCTCCGTGTGTGTACTGACCTTCCCTCGGGCTGAGACACTCGCCCCAGCGGAGCAGGATGTGCCGCAGGTTACGGGCCGGGAGCATCCCCCGGCGTGACGTGTCGTGGCCGCGGAACGCCTCGATTATCTCCTTCGGGATCTTCTCCTGCTGCGTGTGCTGGTGCATCACATCCAGGAACTGGGCGAACGTCATCTTACCGCCTGCAAATAATGGCAAAACTCACGGCCTAACTCATACATACATAGACAATGCTCAGTTACCGGTTACCTGACAAAGTAATTCTTACATATTACTATCAAATTAGTTTGCAAATTATATTCAAATACTTCGGATAGATTACAGTGGTTTGCAACGAAGCGGCAGGCATAATTCAAAAACAGGTCCAATTATTCCCAAAACTCATGGAATTCGCTTCCTTGCGTCACGTGCACCGGGCTGGGCACTGCGCAGTCTTAAAATTTTTTTTAAAAAAACTTGGTACCTACGTGCTTTTCTATGCCAGGGAAACTGTAAAAATTCCATCAATTTCGGGCACTGCGGGAGGAGCAATAACAGCAATATGTAGATAACACGTTCTTCTAGATATCCGAAGATGTTTTTTCCAATGAAGTTGGAATTCCTTACCTTTTTCCTTCATGTATTTTTGCAGCTCAGCGATGGTGGGCGACAAGCCCAGGGACCTCATGATGACGGTCAGCTCGTCCATGGTGGTGATCTGTCCGCCGTGGCGGGCGAACAGGTGGAAACAGTCGCGGAACTCTGCCGGCACACGGTACAATTCAGACGGAAAACAATACACAGCTGGAAACCGTCGCAAAAACTGCCAGCGCAAGTCGCAACTAATACACGCAAAGAACCGCAGAGGAAAAGAAAAATCGCTTGAAGCAGCCACAGCCGCCAACGAGGATCTATCATCGCTGGAAATACGCCCAAACTACCAGGCTGGAAACAAAGTTAATGTTAATTCATGGCTGATAAAACAATAGCAAACTATAATCCTGAACCTCAAGCAAGTTACTCTGTTATGGTCAGTTATGGTGACCTGACATAATTACCTTTACAACTATAAGGCAAAATATTAGGAAAGGGAATAGGGAGAAATCTACCTTGAAATTGAATAAATAAGCAGAGCGAGTGCTGAGTAGTGAGTACCAAGTACCAAATGGGGAAGCAGGTGGGTGAAAAGGAGAGTGAAGGAGGGGAGAAAAGAGTGAATGAGGGAGAGAAATATATATTCCAAACTTACCATCAATATCCTGCTCTTTGAAAAACCTGGCCTGAAATGCAAGACAATGATAATGACCAGTTATGAACAACACAAGTCACAACAACACAGGTGCACACACTATATTAAAGGTAATACAACACTTTTAATATGGGGTTTTGAACTGGAATAGCAGTTTTGTAGGTTTCGTAGCTTGAGCTGAGATAAGCACAAATCAGGAGCTTTCATGGTCCAACTACCACCCTAGGCAAAGATATGTCATTTCTCATTTCAAACTTGGTGCCTAGCATAGGAATTTAGTGCTTTACAGAAGAATGCCAAACATGCAGCCTCCTGTCGCAGAAGCCAGAGCAAGCCAATCAGCATGCAGTTTAAGACTCGACTTGGTTTGGAACTTCAACTTCGCAATACGATTGGTCGAACACAATAAGCTTCTGTTGCCAACAATGTAAGGATGATGATTTAATTGCAATGAAATTGTAGTGTTTTTCACTATCATTGCATCCTTTTGCTTAAAGCCTACGCTTAGTTTGATATAATGAAGCCTGTTTGAGTTCAAGCTCTGGCCTGGTCACTGGTCAGCACTCAATCATTTCGTTATTATTCTTGGCACTTCAAGCACACTGACATCCAGCATATCGTTCAGAAGATCTTGAACAAAGGATCTTATCTTAGTCTAGGTAACTTTAAACAAATAAAAACACTTACCATGACTAAGAATTGAATACAAATGTCAATTGCCCCCACTGGATTGCCCCCTACAAAAATGTCACAGGGTACCGTTAGATTTTTAGATCGAGTCTTGTCGCAGCAGCGCCATTTTCAACACGATAAGCTTTGTTTATAATCAGCTGATTGGAAGCTGTCTGCTAAAACGCTGTCAAATTTCGTTGCAACAATAATCACACTAACCCTTGCATAATTCGACAATGTTTTGCACATTAAATTATAATATGTCATCATATTTGTGGGAAATTGGGGAATTCAATTTAAATGATCCGTAATTCCCCCAAAGCCTATGACCGTATTCTTGTTACCTGATTGCATGTATTGTGTAATAACTGTACCTAACATGCCATGACAAGCCCCCAAGTTCGGCAAGTGCAGCAGCACCAAACCTTTACCCGGTCGTCACTAATCCAATAGTTTATAGTCTTGACCGGATCCAAGCGGTCCATCCTCAGTACCGTCCTCTCAGGACATACCAATCTGCATCTTCCATCATGCTACTTTTTCGAGCAAAGGTAGGGCGGTGCCGGTAAGGGGCAAGGGCAACAACCGGTGGAGCGGTGAGGACGAAATCCCTTTGATCTACATTTCCTCCGAGATGACCGTCTAAGCGGCAGAGCGGGCTGTTCCAACTTCCAACGGGACACTCCTACCTCACCGGGACGGTTTCTGCCGCTGCTGCGCTTCGTTGGTGGTCCGCGCAGTCCATCCAATGTCTGCGCTATATCCCATCAGCATATAGCTCTGTGATGGCTTGTTCCGGCCAAGTTTGATCCCTACAACAGAAGCAAGCCACTCCCAGCGAGTAACGGACCTTCGTCCGCACCTCGGAACCGCAGTCGGGACAGCGCGGAGATTCAAGTTTCCGAGACAATTCAGCTCAATGTGTGGTTTAATCCAGACTCGTAATTCGGTCACACCGCGAGTTAAAATGCCTTACCAGCACACAAACCCACATTTATTCTAGAATATCTCACTCGCATTTATAGGAAGACGCCCTAACCCCCGACACAGTTTTCTCGCCGAACGGCCAGCCTCTCAGCTGGAAGACGTCACACAACCAAAACACCGCTACTGGTAGGTGGTAACAATCGACTGAGGACCGGCCTTCACCTGCAGAACCGGTACATTTTCACAAACTCATCCCCATAGGGTGCTAGTAGTCTACCTCGCTCGGCTGGGACAGCGGCTATGTATACGGGGTGGGTCACCATGTACATCTGGCTTACTAAAACAATATATGCTAACATTGCACGCTCATAGGTCACTAAAATCACGCCAAAGTTTCATGATACTCTGCACAAACTTAATACCCCGTACTTTCTTTAAAAGCGGCCGTCTTCGATATCCACGGTTGAAAATATACCATCATGTGCCAATAGTGCTCTGATACGAGGCTACAGAATCAACATCGCATGGCCCAACGATACTTATTTTGCGTGTGTTCTTGGTGCGTTCCAAAAGAGCTTCGATCACTGACAGCGATAAACGAACGCTTCCGACCCAACTTTTCCGCCACCCCTGACTCTAAGGTCATAGTCACAGGTTCAACTCACACAGCCTCCATAAAAATACAAGTGCGGCAATCATCCATTGAAAACAAACGGAAATCGGAGAATTTACGAAGGGACGAAGATGTCATGATTGGATTCCTAGTAGGTACGTAATTCAGATGTACAACGAAAGCCATGGTGCATGACGACACAGCCAGGTGAACACTGAGAGCGTCCGACCGCATTCGGAGGCGCGGCCATTTCACTGAGTGTGGCAACTTGGTGGCATCCGAAAGTTTGTGTGTTGAGGGCACCGTTATCCACCGTACTGACCATCGTGAAGGCTAAACTACGATAGAATCTATATATGGCACAAGAAACCAACAGCATTGGCAACCTGTTTGTACTGAGTGCTAACAAAGGTATAGAGCTCTGGAAGTGCGCGAATAAAATCATACTACGCTGGTGCACAGACAACAGACACTTGTACTCCAGCCACACCGGGGCGCCGCCGTAGGCTGGCACACCCTGCCTGCACCGGCGATCGGTGGCAGTCTCTGCAGAGACATGGCACAGAGGGCGGGAGCGCAGGACTCGATCCCCGCCGGCCCGACCTGTTAGAGCAGCCGGCTACCTGGTCAGCCGCCGTCAGCCGGCGGCTGAGCCCCGGGCGGTCCTGACTGTGCACCAGCCTCCTCTGACCGGTGTTCGGGCCGCTGCCCACAGCGAGGGCGGCCCTCGAGCTTCTGCGATCGCCTACCTACAGCGAGGGCGGCCCTCGGGCTACTGACCGGTATCCACAGCGACGGAAAATCTCGGGCGACTGCGGTCGGTGCCCTCCCCGGTCTGCTGCCCACTCAAGGGAAGTACCCCGGGCTACTGCGACCGGTGTCCTGGTCCAGAGGAGGACTCCGGGCTACGGTGACCGATGTCCTGGTCCGTGGGCGGACCCCGGGCTACGGTGACCGGTGTCCTGGTCCGTGGGCGGACCCCGGGCTGCGGTGACCGGTGTCCTGGTCTGTGGGCGGACCCCGGGCTACGGTGACCGGTGTCCTGGTCCGTGGGCGGACCCCGGGCTACTGTGACCGGTGTCCTCTCCACTGCCTACAGTACGGGCGGCGACGTCATGGCCTGCCGGCCGGCCGCCGCGGCCCGTCGTCAACAGCGTGCAGTGCCGGCCGGAGGCGCCGCCGCCCAGGTGCTCAGGTTGCGGCCGCCGGCGCTGCCCGTGTTGGCGCCCAGCACGTGAGACGACCAGTCAGGGGCACGCAGCGCGCTCTGGTAGTGGCGCTCGCACGACTTGTTGAACACAGGCAGCACCTCGTTGGCATCCTTGGCCAGCGCCTGTGAGCGGAGGGCAAATACCGGTCACCAACAGGCATACAAAGGCGCACCGGGCGGGGTCTGTCGATATCAGACAAACAAGGGTAGCGCGGGAGGGGTTACTGCCGCCGCGGACCCGTCACGGCTGCAGCGGCTAGTTTACCAGCCATGCAATATGGCGCAAACACGCCCCCAGTCCATCAATAAACAGCATTCCGCCAAGTCACCGTTCCACGAACCAACGTGACACATTTTCCAAGAGCTCGGCAAACACCCCTGTCGTTCCTGACGTGTCAGTACAAGCACAATCAATACAGACCCCGCTCCACAGCTGCCTCGCATCCCTCCAATATCGCCCAGCCCACACGGCGGGAGCGGGCGCTGCCAGCGTACCTTCAGGTAGATGATGGCGTCTGTGCCGTATCCCTCGCACGAGTTGACGATCAGGTCACCCTGGAAGTAGCGTGCGTACAGTCGGGAGAGCGGCAGGCCGTATCCGTACCCTGGAGAGTAGCGGGCACATGACCGTCAACAACAGAAGAACAGCCTCCAGTCACGTACAGCTAGACAAGACGCAGATGCAATTGTAAAAAAAAAAACGACAGCATAACTAAACATAAGTAGAACAAAAAGTAGCATAACCAAACAAAACTAAAACAAAGTAGCTAAGGACTAGATCATTGATGAATCTATGAAATAACGGCGCACGACTATTAAATAAGATACGATGAACATCGATTCTTGCATGCGTTTTGAAATTCGTTTCTCTCTAAACTCGTTTGGCTTCAATGTTGAATAAATTTCCCATATTTGAAGTACGCACGCCATCTTTTCAATATAAAAAGTACATTTATTGCGAGCATGAGTTATGGATAGTTTGCATCACCATTGCATAAAGATAGGCATCAGCATATACCTATATAGTAAATCTATATAGATATAGATATATAGTGGTCTATGGTCTGTATTTGTCATCCGTTCAGATAACGTTTTTTGATAGCTCAGATCGACCTGTGAGAGCAATGGTTGCTGGGGGCGCCCAAAGATTCACATTAAGCCATTAACCACGCTTCAATGAATGCTTAGAACGCTGCAGAATTCGAACTAAATGCACCCGGAGACAGTTTCGCGACATTCTTCATCCGTCAACATGACGCTGAACAAAAATAAAAAACCAAATGATTCCACATATCCTCATGACTATTTCCAGACGTCCCGCATCCGGCTGCCTAGCAACGGGCACACCGTGTTGACATTAGGTCTGTCCACCCGGCCGCGGGGGAGGGGAATAGTTGGCACGGTCGACAGCGGCCTTCTGTAATCCACACAGAGCGGCCGCAACTGGGGAGCGGCAGACAGCTAGGAATGGATAGCAGCTGGGGGCGGGCAGCTGGCAGCTGGCAGCTAGGGACAGATAGCAGGCACCTGGGGATGGGCAACTGTCAGCTAGGGACGGGCAGCTGGCAGCTTACAAAAAGGGCCGTGTAACTGACAGCCGGCGGAGGGCAGCTGGCAGATGGGGGAGAAGTTCACACCGATTGACAGCAGGGGAGGGAAGAGAGGCCAGAGGGTTTGGGTCGGGTCGGGTCAGCCGTCAGGTCACGTTAGGTCAGGTCGGATCGGGATGGGCTGGGTCTCGTCCAGTCGCGTCGGTGATGGTCTAGCTCACAAGAACACCCACCTGCTAGCGGAGCGGCGTCACCCGAGGCCGACGGCTTGGGCGCCGTCGAGTACAGATAGTGGAAGAGCATGTCGCTGACGCTGCGGGGCACGCCGCCACCGCGGTCCGAGATCTGCCGGTCACACAGGGAGGACGGTCAGCGGTCAGCGGTCACCGCGCCGGTCAGCGGTCAGCGGTCACGAGTCAGTTGTCGCAGGTCAGCGGTCACCGGTCACCGCGCCGGTCAGCGGTCACGAGTCAGTTGTCGCCGGTCAGCGTTCACCGGTCACCGCGCCGGTCAGCGGTCAGTTGTCAGCACTCGGTGGTCAGCGATCAGTTGTCAGCGCTCGGCGGTGAGCGGTCATCGATGAGCGACCAGTGATACGATTCGAACAGCAGGTGGCGATGAATACCAATAAACACGTCACTCAGTTCATAGAGCCGGGCGGCACACTGAGTGCTCCGCTCGTACCCAGACTCAGTGGTGACATCAGCCGTCACCGTAAAAACACCAGTCGCCGCGGGGTAATGCCGGCGGTGGTCTTATGTTGGTACCGATCTCAGTACTGTGCCAGACGGTCCAAACGACGGACCGCCGACGCGGGCTGGTGGCCCGCTGACTCTATCGTAAATTGTAAAATAATACGGAGCCGGCTAACATAGCAATGACATCAAATCTTCATCCGTTCGGCTATTAAAAAAAAAAATGGTTTAACTTCAAACTAAGACTAGGGTAGATAAGTAGGGTAGATACTGTTGAGAGGATGGGAACTACTGCGGTCAGTTACCAGCCAGCACGGGTGCCGACGGGGGGAGGGGAAGGGGGTACGTCGGAGGCGGTCCGCTGGCAGTACGCCGTCGGCCCCGCTATCGGCGCCGCCCAGCCTCCGTCCATCACCGCCCGCCGGTGGTTTTCCACACCGCCGGCCGGGGTCCGCGCGTCGGCTGCGGCCCGTCGATAGGGGCGGCCAACGCGACTATGTTCCCCACCCCCGCCCAGTCGGGAAACTGGGGAGTCACCGGGCTGACGTAAGACCGGGATAACAGGAGGGGCGGGGTGACGTATGGGTCAAAGGAGTCGGTCTCTGGCTGGCCGGCCGGCCAGTAAAGGTTCGCCGATCGATCGGCAATGTCACCTTGAGCCGGTGCCGGCACTGTTGACGCCGCCAGGACGCGTGCACGTGAGACGCATTGGCGACCGGTAGCGGACGCGCCCCCCACTGACGACGCCCGCCCTCCCACGTGGTTGTGGCCCGGGGATATTTATACCGGCGCCGCGCGCTCTCTGGCACAGGCGCCGGACGGATTCCGCCCGGGAGTTTCCACTGTCAGCAGACTCGGCCGCTGCGGGGGACTGGACCATTGAGGAGGCGTGGTTCGTCGGTGGGTGGGGGACCGGAGGAGACCGGTCGGCACCGGCTGTCGGGCGACCTGCCACCCGTCCCCAGCCGCGACCGACGGCGCCGAGCTTCTACTAGTCACACTTGCTGGGCGACGAGCGGCTACTGCGGATAGGAGATCCTCACACCCCAGCAGTGCCGCCACCGCCCGCATGTATTTGTCGTCCCGCCCGCTCTAAGCCCCGCCGTATCGGTATCGGCGAGTGGCAGCAGCCCATCTGCAGACGTTGTTGACAGCGTCAACAGACAGTCGGACAGTGGCGACAGACGGCCGGCGGTCCGGTCCGCGAGTCCGTTGCACACGGCACCAGTGCCGACACCGTGGGCACGAACCGGCCGTAACCGGTGCGGGAGTGGGGGGGGGGGGGGGGTCGGCCCGTACGGACCGGCCGACATCTGAGCAGCACCGCCCGCAGTTACCAAGGAGCGCTCCCGTCCGGATCGAGCCGGCTCAGCGACGCAAAAAAAACCGCATCAATCGACACTTCACTAAGCCGTAAATTCACCAATGAACATAAAAAAATATGAAAGGGATTTTATTGTCATGGTAATTTGGCAAAATATTCGTCTATACCTACTTTCAGTCGGTACTGAGTTTAGCGTGATTGGGTCACGCTAGGTCATCCACTATCGGACAAATGACTTCCTGACAAGCTTGTCATAGCCAGATCTAGCGTGCTCATTTTACGTCCGAGGAAAGGACATTCGTGCCAGCCAAATTGCCAGCCATCGGCGGCGGCCGCTGACGTCATATCTGCACGGGCCGTGGCGCTGCTCGATATTAATTACACGGGAACGCATCGACTGGAACAGCCGGATGACCAATTAGTCCAAAACAGCGAATATACCTAACCTAGCCATTGAACGTCGATTCCAACTGCTACTTACATCGACAAAGGCTGGACGGCCGAACGGTACTGTAGTACCTGTCCACTGGAAGTGGAACGGTTTGACGCCGTTGGACGGTTTGCTGACCGGACATACACGAAACTTCAAGAAAGTGCGACAGGTATAATAAACCCACATTCATGATATGGAAAAACAAATTTAGTCGACCTAGTTCAGGAGCATTTATATTCGGAGTCTGTTCCAGAGGTCACACAACAATCACACTGTTCTGGTTCCAATTTTGCGATTTTAGGCACGTGCCTAAATGGCGTGGCACGTACTTGCGGAACCCTGTCGGCGATTGAGTCTTATCAACGATACGTTATTAGTAAGCAGCGCTAAGCTGGTAAGCTGGTAAGCAAGAAAAGTATTCCGACTCGGTAAACAATGACGTGTGCAAATGTCGAGTGGGTCGATAAATTGACACTCCCCCCCCCCCTCCTCCCCCATAAACACAAGCCGTCAGCTTGTACTGTATAAGCTCTATCCTGGTGTATAGCATGTCTTCCACAACCATGCCGTGTCTGTAGTGAATGTCGCCCACCGGCGGGTGCCATTAGGAACGGTACACAGGCACCAGATAAACCAAACTGCAGACAGTAGCACCCGCGATAAGGCCCTCTCCAGCCCGCATAATGCACAATGCACGGGCCTTGGCAGCGGGACTTACGTTTCTAAACAGCGCTCCTATCTCTCCGCCAGACCAGACAGCAGCTTGAACTGAGCTTGACGGTGAGGTGAGGTCCTGTCCGTACTGACTTTGATGGTGAGATCCTGTCCTAGGTACTGACTAGAGATGTCAATCGGATACCAACTTTTTGGTATACCGATACCAAACCGATACCAACTTTGTATTTGGTATTTCAATCGTAATGTGTTTGGTATTTTGTTGGTATGATGAACCCTCACTAATGTATAAGAGGCTAATAAATTGGTAAAAAGTTGGTATTTCCCTCAGTTTCCCAAGCTGGTTTGGTTTCGGTATTTTCCCGTGGTTCTGGTTAATATTTGGTTTGGTATCGGTATTCCGATTTTCCGTAATTGACATCACTAGTACTGACCTTGACGGTGAGGTGACTGTACGGTTCTCCCGTACTGACCTTTATAAGGTATTGGGCCCGTACACTGAGCTTGATGGTGAGGGCCTGTCCGTACTGACCTTGACGGTGAGGTGACTGTGCGGTTCTCCCGTACTGACCTTGATGGTGAGGTCCTCCTTGCCGTTGACCACCAGCAGCTGGATGGCCGGAAAGTCGGAGGTGTCCGGGTAGTGTTCGACCACGGCGCGCATCGAGTTCTTCAGCAGCTCGAACAGGATGTGGTACAGGTGCGACGGCACGTACACCAGCGTGATGGGCGACTGCACGCCGCCTGCAGACACACGGACACACAGACACGCGCGCCGTTAGCTCGCGAACAGACGGACAGACACACGCCGAGCCGAGCCGCCGGCCAGCTCACGTACACGGGATGATTGACAGATAAGAAGCGGGCCTCACAATGGTACTGATACAAACGCAGGTTCACATCACCTTGAATCGTAGGTTACGTCACAATTCCATCCTTTTACCACTAGTTAGCGTCGGTTTTTTGGAGTGTTCCTACTTTTTTATTTGTATAGGCACACTCGCAATCAGAAATTGCGGAATCTTGCAATTAGTACGCGTTAGTAAAGAAAAATTAGAATTTGTGTGTTTGGGCACCAGAGCAAGTATGTATCAAATCACATATTCTCAGTAGGGCAGCCATGCTTGTATTGTCCATCAATTTCAAAATTCAAAGTTCGTACCATACCCAGAAAAAATACATGAGCCTTGACCTTTTGACGTAATAGCCTAAATCACACCGAAGAACGCTGTTGTGTATTCGGTTTTGCTCCCGGGCGCCCCGTGGCGTTGATCGGTCGATCCACCGTTCCCGACCTCTCCTGGGGTACGGCGAGGGCGTCCGACCGTCACCGCCACCGTCTCCCGGCCGGTGTTTACACATTTCCCACATAGCGGCTGGCGGCGGCCCCGGCCGCGCGTGTCAGGGGCCGCGCTGAGCCAGTGTTGTAAACAGGGCGGGTCATGGCCCCTGGTCGGACCTAACGGTCGCTGACCGAGCGAGACGCGCTGTTTTTGCTTTCAGCGTTGATACAGTCAAATTTACACGGTAATGTTCTGAAGGGTATCGAAGAAAACTACATCTTTGCGACGGGCTAATAGCACACATACTGGCATCAATACTATTTTATAAACACTGGACACGGACACAACCATCGAATAAACAGAGACCCGGATTATGTGCCGCAGCATAGCTAGCTATGCAATATGCACCATGGACGAACATGTACAATTAATAGGTAATTGATGATAGGTACTGTCTGGTACTACTGTGCGAATTTTCCCGAGAGCAAAGGGCCTATGAAATATCAGTAGAGCCATATATACCAGACGCCAAGGTAAACACACCATCAAGGGTGTGAAGGATGTGCTTATACTCAAGAGGTACTTTACTGGCACCCCGGCACTTTACCGATCCCACAAAGGCACAGAGGCGCCGGCGGCCGGCCATCGTGCCGGGTACAACGCACGAAGTCGCTCGGGGGGAGGGGGCACCGACCCATCCGCTATAAACACACACACACAGGCGGCGCCACACAGCGGTCTCCGTCCCGGTGCGTGGACACCGCCGGGTCAGGGGCGCCGTCCGCGGCCGCTGGTGACCTCCGGCCGGGCGCCCGGCGCCCTCCCAGATTACGGTACTCACCGTCGCTGTCGCTGCTGCTGCCGGCGTCCGGGGCCACCATGGCTGGCTCACATGGAACGGCGGGGTCGGCCCGGTCAGTGGTGCGCGCCGCGCCCGACATGCTACACACCCAGGCGCGGAGTCACGGCCGGCGGCAAACACTCACACAGCGACAGCCATATTCTATCCTAAACTGGGTAACTTTAGTGGCGGGCTACGTCACAGCAACGGCGTATGTCACCCGAAATGCAGGTAAAAGGTCCAAACAAAACATAAAACGTCAGTTTCAATCAATTGTCTTTTGGCAAAGACCATTAAATTAACTTGGCGAAGTGTTAAGTCATGCCCATCAAATGCGCCATTCATTTGCCTTTGCCAAAGTAAATTTAGCCCCGGTTTCTATTTGCCAGTGTTTCATTCTAAGCACAAACATTCTAATGTGACTCGACCGGGGTTGACTCCAAAGTCCACACATCAAGATGCTTTACAGTTTGTGTGGAAGATACACATGCAGCTCGGGTTTTAAAGCGGGTCTGATGAGCAAGGTAATGTAATGCAACGTGATCTTACATTGAACCAACCGCATTTTTAGGCACGAAATAAATTAAAAACCCGTATTAAAAAACAATGATCAATATTATCATTAAAAGCATCAAAAGGTTTGAATTTGTTTCACATTATATTTGATTGGCCCATGACTGAGCAATGGAGACCTTCGGTCGGCTTGGTCGTTGGACGTAGGAATATCCACACGGAAGTAGGGTCGGTACTAAAACAGTGAATAGTTGATTATATTATTCAATGAAAATAGCATCTGTCACGGTGTCAGCCCGTTATACAACAGCACAGCCTGAACCAGTTATTGTACAGTGTACACACACTCCACAAGGACTGAATCAACATCGAGATACACAGCGAGCTACTGCTGCAGCGGGCGTGTCATCAGCAGTATTCGGAGAACATGGGATTTTACTGGTCCGGTGAAACCCAAACACACATCCACCGTGCACTGCCGGTCGGATCGAACGGCGAGAAAAACACCGGTACATACATGCCAGCGGAGCAAAACCACCGGGACACTGAGCATAGGCGGCGGAACGGGGGGGGGGGGCACCGGGGCACCGTGCCACCTTTGATTTTGCCATTTTAACATTAACCCTATGGGCGTTGCATGGAAAGAATGGGACCAAAAGCCGGCAGTGCCCCCCCCCCCCTCAATTGAAGGTGTTCCGCTCAAGGGGAAAAATTGAAGGTGTTCCGCCGCTACTGACACTGACCAGTAAAGTAATCTTACCGGGGACACAGGCGGCGAGATAAAGCCGCCGGGAACACAATATAGGCGGCGAGATAAGCCAACGGGAACACAGGCGGCGAGATAAAGCCGCCGGGACACAATATAGGCGGCGAGATAAGCCGACGGGAACACAGGCCGGCGAAATAAACCCACGGGGACACAGGCGACGAGATAAAACCACCGGGACACAAAGACCGACATAAGAAACTCATAAGAAGGCAACACAAACCTATCGGGACACGGAGGCCAGCCGCATGCAGCTGCAGCAGGCACCGGCAGCTCCATCGACACGGGAAACTAGCGCCGGGAGGATACTGGATACCTACCACGGTGCGGTGGTTCGTTTGGGGCAGCAATCGCCGAGGGAACTGTTTGCATTCACTAATACTATATTTCTAATCTGACATTTAGATACTGACCTGACTCTGTCGTGCAGTATATGACCAAATATCTTAGCATGGCGGTTGAGCTAACACTACCTTTTCCTCGCAACTTTTAAAAGTTCCGGATGAAGCGTGACCGCTGACCTGGTACCTAGACCTGTAATGGGCCGATAATGTGACCTCACCTGCAACCGACAAGAGTGTGACCCGGCCTGTGTCCCAGTAACTGTAAGCCAGATCGGATAGTCTCGTGACCTGACGTGATCTGTCCGGCGCCCCACTCACCGTTGACCTGTGTGATCTGTCCGGCGCTCCACTCACCGTTGACCTGTGTGATCTGTCCGGCGCCCACTGACCGTTGACCTGTGCGATCTGTCCGGCGCCCCACTGACCGTTGACCTGTGTGATCTGTCCGGCGCCCCACTCACCGTTGACCTGTGTGATCTCGATCTCGGGCGAGGCCAGGTAGTACCGGTCGCAGAGGAAGCGCGCGTTGGCAGCAGCGTCCTCGATCACGTGCACCACGTTACAGAAGGGGTCGATGCAGCCCACCTGACCGACGCCGGCCTCTTTGCGCTGTTTCCCGAACAGCAGCGCTGCCGAGCACACGGCGCGTGACACGGTCAGACCGGCGGCCCGCGGCTGACTAAATTCAGCCCGCAAAATCTGCATGTTACATTGATCTGAACAAGCGACAACGACGCAAGTTCAAATCAGGGAATGCCGAACAGCCCTACATCGCCGACAGCACACGCAACTAACAGCCGATGACGGCAATGGGGCGTGATATCCAGCTTTAAATCCGTCCCGTCCTCTCCTACGGATCGACAAACTATTTTGGGAACTAAATGTTAGCATTGATTCCTAGCCAGATGAGCCAGCCCAGCCCGAAGACTCGCTGAATAGTGAATATGGACGACCGGAGAGCGATGACAAGCGAAAGTGTCATCGCTCATGAAGGTAGTAAGGAGAAGAAGAGGGAATGGGAAAGATAAAGGAGAAGGGATAGACCGAGGGAATTTCCCCCCACTCACTGTGCTGGTTGATGAGCATGCGTATGCTGATGCGGCTCATGTAGAAGCGGTCGAGGAAGTACTGGATGTTGTTCTCGGTCGAGGTGTCCAGCTTGACGCTCTGTTTCATCTCGATGACACCCTCGGCCATGGTCTGCACTACGCTGCTGTGCCGGTTGCGGATCGTGATCAGCGTCTCGCAGAAACTGCCGGCGCGGGGCGGGAAGTGACGTCAGCGGATTGGCACGGTGCCACAGACCACACGTTTATCTCGGGATCCGGGAACCCCGGGAGATGTCATGTTCCATTATGGTATAGTAGGCACCAATGGCAATGAGAGCTACGACAAGCCAAATGTCGCCAAAGTGTCGGTCGCCAAATGACAAGATCTTGCGCTAATCGCACGGATAAATTTAAGAAGTTTTTGTTTGTTTGTTTTGTTTTAATCTTTTTGCTATGTCATAAAAATGGTCTGGGGCCAGGCCAAATAAAAGATAGCTCTAATGTTCTATATTCGAACACAGTTGGGCAGGGCACAGAAAGGAAAAAGGAAATGGTCGCCCTGGATGATGGATCACCATCTGCTGTAACAATTGAAATTAGGATGCTAATTTTCTCCCACACCTATAAAGCTAGGATCTCTGAATTAACCTGTATTCTGTCAAAGATGATGATATAGTCAGATGCATGCCTCATAACCTGAATTGAATATAGCTGGCTGCTTCCAGAAACGCATGCTCATACATCGAGACACCTCACCCACCCATTCTTATTGATTCATTATCATCAAATTTGTTGTCAAAATACTAAATACCAACAACAGACTATCCCGACATGCCCCAAATTTGGGGACAGGCCCCACTCACTCTCTGAGAACGCTGTCGGTGGGCGGGCCGGTCTCCTCAAAGCGGAGGATGTCATTGAAGCTCTGCATGTACCACTCACACACCGTACGGCATGATGGCTGTGTGAGCAGACTCTCGGGCAGCAGCTGGATCTCACGCATGATATTAGCCAGCCGCACCGGCACCTCCTGACGAAGAAATATGAAACTCTGCTGCTCTGATGCAGCCTTACCTGGAAAGATTCCAAAGCATGCCATGTGTGAAAAATTAAAGCACTTGAAAGTTTTAATAGGTTATGGATGGTTAGAATGCTTAAACTAGCCTGGACTAAGTGCACGTGGACGTGCACTATGCAGATGCCAAATTATGAGCAAATAAAAACACACAAATGCTCAAATCATGTACTTTAAGTCACAGACAGAATATATAACAAGGTGCAGCCTTTCCCTGTAACCACAAGCCTCCACTGTGTTGCAGGGCAATTGTGTCAAAATGGAAGGAAGCAAGCATTCTCCTCACAGTTCTGAAACAGGGACAGATTTTATTTTATTATTTTGCTTTAATGATATTCATTTTAACACAAATTATTTTTGCATATCCTTATTACGTATTTTACCACTGTAAATAGCTGAATGCAAGGATTGATCCACCTAATGAATACAACACACCGATACCATAGGCATCTACAATATACAAACAAAATAACTGAGGCTGGATATTGCAAGTTTCAGGGAACTTGAACCCAAGTCATCAAAAATTACTTATGAAAACTCACCAAAGTCAATAAACTGTTTTATGGACAAAGGAGATGGATTGAATCCAGAGTAATATTCCAACATCTTGTTCACGCTTCGCAAGCATCTTGAAAGCCTCATGGCTGCTCCTAAGGACAAAATTGCAAAATTTTGACACTTCAGCGACCTCCAAAGGCTTAAGTTAATAAAACACTGAACTACAATGGCATCATACTTCAATATCGCAATTTACATTCGCAAACCACCACCACACACCACACACCTCCGCGGCATAAACGAGAATGAGAAATGAAAATGAAAACAGTTGATGACCTTGAATTCGATGTTCGTGAAACTGCAGTGGTATTCGTTTTCGCTCTTTATAATACTGATAAACTTGTAAAAGTGGAAATTTTGCATTTTCTGTCCCATGATCCATTGAACTTGGGTCATCAGTACAGGATCAGGACATGAACAACCGGACCCTTTGGTTTTCTACATAAGCTACGGCTGAAGGGGGGAAATACGACCCACTCGCCGTTTCGCCCCTGATGGAGCTAGAGCATCTAAGAAAAACGAGCGTGTGCACCGTTACGAGACGCTGAGACCGGTACCCCATTTTAAGGTCTCAGGTCAACCGGTGACCTCTTAGGTCTTAGGTCAGGTCAATGACCCAAGGGACGGGTTCAGTTTTGCATAAATATCTTCGCAAAAAAACGGTCGCAGAGCCGCGACTTTGGCATCATCGTGTTCGCCTTGATCAGGCGCGTCGAATGGTAGGTATGCTTTTTTTATTTTACTTAGCTATATCTAAAACCAAAAGTTTTGCATCGATTTCATTCAAACTTGCAGAGAACATGCGACCATCAACTACCAGGGTCGACAGAGAAAGCAAAAATTATCCGACCATTGCAACCCAACGTTCCATTTGATGCGACACGCGGTAAGCGGCAATCGACAGTAGGTGTGTCAAAAATAATGTAGACAATGCATCAGTTTTCAGTCACTTTCTAGATCAGGTCAAAGATCATGTCAGAGGTCATCAAATGTCAAATTTTGCCGATTTCAAGCATTTTCGAAAAACCGGTGCACCGTGCATAGCTCGAAAACCAAAAAAGCTACAGCGCGTGAAAAAGCGCATTCGATAGGCCTTTAAACGTTTTTTTTGGCTGTGACCTCAGATTTGACCTCAGGTCAACGGTTCAGCCTCGAGGGCAAAAACTAAAAATAACCGTTTCTTGCGATGTTGTAATAACTTTTGCCTCTAGAGAGTCACGACATTACTTTTGCCAGCATTGTATTCCTCTCGTCGAGACGCGTCGAATGACCTATAAGCTGACCTTGAAAGGTCCTTTGGAAAATTTGACCTCAGGTCATGAGGCCATGACCTGACCGGAAAAGTTCGTTTTGCATCAGCATATCAGTCGATCCGTATGGTCGAGCTGAGCACATCTGATGTGTTTTCACCGCTCTAATACGTCTCTATCAAAAGTTAAGTGTTAGGAACTGCTGGGGACCTTTCATGACCTGAGATGACCTCAGGGGCACAAAGAGAGGTCACGGATGTAATTTTTCGATTCAATTTGTCATATTCATCTATAAAGCGATGAATTCGTGATTGTTAAGAGCGACGTTCGTCCAAAAGAGGTACATTTCAATTGTCTCCCATTGACTCATAAAAGAGGTCGCAAAATTGACCTGACCTTAACCCTCGCCCGTATTGGTGTTTTTCCAGCCGCGAACGTATAAGGGGGGGGGGGGTCCGTTGGACCCCCTTGCCGTTTCGCCCCTGATCGAGCTAGAGCTTCGCGGAAAAACGAGCGTGTTGCCCGTGACGAGAGAAAGTCGATGATACCCAATTTTAAGGTCCTAGGTCATTGGTTGACCTTGCAGGTCAGGTCAATGACCCAAAAGTCGGGAAAATCGGGACCTGTTAGAACATCGCAAAGTGTGGCTGCTATGGGGTTTTTCGGGTTGCTGATCACAAATAACATGTTAGGGGAAGCCGGGGGAAGCCCGGCATAGTAAGCTCTTTTTCATTTTTATTTCATACCATACGTGCTGTATGAAATGTTGATATCCTGTTAGCTAGCTAAGTTCATTGGCCGTCTCTTCCCAAAAATTCGGTTTCGTGGAATAAGTATAAGGTTGAGAAAATCGAGTTTTAAAAAAGTGTTGATTTTTCTGGGGTAAGCCCGGCATAGGGGTAACGCCGGCCACCTCCCCAGCGCTTTACAACGAGTTGATGAAACCATTATGTGTCTTCCAAATATTAACGGAAAGTGAAACATTAAGGTACTGATTAGCTCTGGACATCTTAGAGTTTATGTCACTACTGCCATTTTAGCTAGCGTCTACCACATATACAGTACAGGTCGATGAAAATCGTGATGCAAAATTGATAAAAAATGTGTATTTCAAAATTCCTTAAAATTTATTTTTCTTTTTACCTTAATGCATCATATTGCATATCATTCGACTCGGCTGATGAAGAAGAACACAACGACACCATTTTTGAAGCTCTAGCTTCATTGTCTGTTGCGTTATCTGCAAAAAGGTACTTTGACCCTAGTTGACCTTAAGTGACATGACTGGCTTTGTCTATGATAACATGTTTATTTTCGAAATTTATCTTTGATCTAGGTGTAAACCAAACCTGCTCAGTACCTATTATCTCATGGAAAACAGTGGTTTAGTGGCATTGCTCTCGGTTGGGGGTAAGCTTGGCCACTCGCCCGGGGTTACCCCAATGTGCTAATTTTTATTTTAGAACAGCGATGTTCGAAAAAATGTCATACTTAAGCCAACCTGCCTCGTCACCCCTCACTACAAACACTTAAACGGTCCTTACATAACATTCGTATGAATATTAGTTCTGTATGGTATAACATTAACAGTGCAACATATCTCACTTTTTAGCTAAAAACCCTTAAAATATCATTTTTGCTCTATAACTTTAACAATATGCAATTTTTGTTAGCCTTAACTTTTTTGCTGGCGTTACCTTAGCTGCCACGCTGAAAGAACAAACGGTTGAGCATTTTATTGTGAATAATTTAGCCGGAAACGGGGTGGCCGGGCTTCCCCCGCGCCCGGGCTTCCCCCGGCTTCCCCTAGATTTGATCACAAATGATGTCTTCATGCATTTAGTCCAGGTCGGGTCAGGTCAGGTCAGGTCAACCAGTAGGGGTCCTGCCGGGTATTCCTAATAGGTGTCAACCGCCTCTGACAGCTTCGCAACATGTTACGAAGGAACCAAAACTTCTTCGTAAATGTTCATACGGTTGCTAAATTCGAATTCAGCTCCAAAAACTGGCCTAGAAACATGTAAAACTCGAAAAAGTGAACCGAGGTCATCAACGGTCAATGACCTGACCTGACCTTCAGGTGACCTTGATACCCACCCTAATGCATGGGGGCAACATCATATCACATGTTTGAACGCTTAAAACCACGAAAAGTCCGCAAACGCGCGGCTAATGCGAGCCGACATACGCCGAATCGCGATTTCGGCCAAACATGGTCTCGAAAAGTAGGTCATAGGTCAAAGGTCATTTGGGTCAGGGTCATGAGATTTTTAGAGTAGAGGTGTAAAATTGATGAACGCGAGGGTACTGAAAGTTTCGTCGCGATCGGCCGCTTTTTACGCGAGTTATTCGCGAAAAACCATGGGGGGGTCCGTTCGACCCCCCCCCCCATACGGGCGAGGGTTAAGTCACAGGTATCGAAATTCCAAGATACATTTTATACATACTGCTACTTTTATCCATCGCTGAAAGTTTCAAAACGATTGTTCAGCCGGTGTAGCTAAAGCGATCATTGGAACTTTTTCTGAAGTATGGTCACTTGACGTGACCTGGTGACCTGACCTTGAATGGCCCAGGAAAAGATGGTGCTGCGCGCCGCCATTTTTGAAAAATTTGCGATAAAACTGAAGGGGGCGTATAGGCACCCCCCCCCCCCCCCCGCACGGCGCTTAAATATACTCGCAGTGTTTGCGTTCCCATCAATTAGGAAAATCAGCTACCTCAACAACAAATATTTCGCAGCGTATGCTCGCAATATAACCGCCGACGCCGCAACGTTTCTAGCAGCTCCCTTGGGAATCCTTCGACTAAATTGCCGGCGTCTATAATGCATTGCAAGAGACTTGTGTTGCGGCTGACCCAAATATGCTGCTTAGCTGGCATGACGAGTGTGAGAATGTGTTAGCACAATTGGACGCGTCCCCACGGCATCCCGAATCCTGGGCCGGGCGAGCCGCGGTGCTGGCTCGGATGGCCGCCTCCTCCACATCCAGGGGTGGTCCGTCCTGACTCGGTGCGGGTTCTCGGCACACGGCTCGGCGGACCGACGATGACCGACGGATACGGGCCACTCGCGGAGCGGCCCGAGCCGGCCGCGGCACAGCCGACGGGGCCCCGGGGGGCGTCATGGCTGGATGCGGACCGGGCTATCGCTCCCATGCCTTCAGCCTCGCCTACACAAGGTCATCTGTAATTGCTTTAGTCGCCACTGCTTTGCCATAGGGAAATTACATTGTGCTGTGTGCGCCATTGCAATCTCCTGCGATTGTGTGAAATTTTTGTGCGCCACTGTGTCGCGTACCACGAGCTACGATGCTACAATTCCTATAGTGTGCACCGTTCTGCCCCCTCCAAAGATGCTAGTGCTTCTGTGCGTCACTGCAGTCTCCTATGGTGTTAGTGTAATGTGCGCTTCTGCAGTCACCTATGACGTAGGTACGAGTGCACTGGGTTCGCCATCGCAGCCCCAAATGGTGTTAGCGTTCTGTGCGCCACTGCAGTTTCCTATGGTGTTAGCGTTATATGCGTCACTGCAGTCTCCTACGGCGTTGGCTGATGTAACGGTCGATCCCCTGTTCAACGAATTGTCTCGAGAGAACCACCGCACCTGTGGGTTCACAACGAATAAAAAACCAGGCGCGAGGGTGTAGATGGGAGAGAGGAATAAAAAACTTACGTTCTGACACGCTGGCCGTCCTCCGTTGACTGATGCCCTGGCGTGTTGTGCCTCCCTTCCCCACCCCTCCCCCACCCTGAGGCCATATGCACCGTCCTCCCAGCCTGCCTTGAGTGCGCGCGACTGCAGTCGCCACTGGTGATAGCGTCCTATACGCCACTGCAGTCGCCACGGCGGTGTTAGAGTTTTGTGCGCTACTGCAGTCTCTCGGTGTTAGCGTTGTGTGCCACCATGCAGTCTCCTTATGGTGTTAGCGTTGTGTGCGCTCAGCGCTACTGCAGTCTCCTATAGGGCGTTAGCGTTTCTAGCGCTACTGTATGTCTTCCGCGAGCTAGTGTTGTGTGCGCTTGCAGTCTCGTGTAAGGTTAGTGCTGAGTGCGACACTGCACTCTCCTAAGATGCTAGTGTAATGTGCGCTACTGCAGTCGCCTATATGGTGTTAACGTTCTATGCGCTATCTGCAGTGGCTTCTACGAGCTAGTGTTGTGTGCGCCATTGCAGTCTCGTGTGAGGTAAGCATGTCACTGGAGTCTTTTATGGTGCTAGTGTTATGTGCGCTACTGCAGTCTCCTATATGATGTTCGAGTGCGAAGGGTTTACCCACGGTTTACCAGTCACCACTGCAGTCACCAATGGTGTTAGCGCTTTATGCGCCACTGCAGTCTGCCAGGACGCTTGTGAGCGTCAGTGGAGCATCATATGGTGTTAGCGTTGTGTCCGCTAAACTGCAGTTTCCTATGGGGCTAGCGTTCTGTGCGCCACTGCAGTCTCCTATAGTGCTAGTGTTATATGCGTCATTGCAGTCTGCCATGACGCTTGTGTTGTGTGCGTTGTTGCAGTCTCCTATGGTGTTAGCGTTGTGTTTGCTACTGCAGTCTCCTATGATGCTATAGTTTCATGCGCAATTGCAGTATCATATGTTGTTGGCGCTCTGTGTGCCACTCCCGTCTGTTTCGCCACTGCCGTTCTGTTTTCCTTGTGTCATGTGCGATACTGCAGTTTCCTATAATGTTATGGTTGTGAGTGCCCTGTGCACACAACAGCCTGCATCCAGGCACTACATGATATTTATGTATCAGGGCATAGTGTTAGTGCTGCACTTTGACCAACAAAATCGTAACCATAAATAAAAAACATGATTTTACGCGTACGATAAGCGCAGATATGCATGCTGACATGTCTCCAGAGATTCCCTAGAAGCTTATTATCCCTCATGACTCGGTATTCACAATCCCGAGGCACGATTGCCTTCCCGCGGCTGCACTGACCGCGTCTCTGCAACAGTGCCGTATACCGTTTATCTATACGGGCGTCGTCCGCGGCTGGGCGGTCAGCGCGGCCTCCACGGCTCCCAGGCTGCAACGAGCCTCCATTACCGTCACGTAACGCCGCGTGACGCCACTGTGCCATGCGCGGCGCCGGCGTCGGGCCGGGGGGCCGCTGGCCGACCCCACCGCGAGGCCACTCGGATGAGTCAACCGTCACACAGCCCACCACGGTGCTCGGGGGCTGATGCACTTTTGTGACGCTGAAAGGCTCGATCATGTTTAAAATACCCATGTATCATGACATATGACACTCATAAATAAGGCTGACACTCATTACAACGAGTGGGTATTATAGGTTGGTGGACAGTGGCACATTTATGGCTCGAAGATGTGAACAATATTATGTTCGCGTGCCACCGTTCGATGGAAGATGACCGGGTTGTCACCGTCAGTGATCGCCGCCCTGCACCGGCGTGGAACGTGGCTCGACACTCGACAGTCCACAGATCTACCATGGTCTGCCGGCCATGGGTGTCAAATGGGAGAGCCAATGATTATGAACTTGTTTGTCAGGTTTACTCCTTCATGGACACTTAAACTGAGTTTTGACCTCCCTTTACCTGGGTGTCACTGTTTACATGGATTTGAGTCAAATCTGGTGATGGTGACTCATCCATGTCCTGGAGTTGTGAGACTAAAGAGAAAACTTTAATAAAACCCTGGTCGCCTTTTTTCTTAACGTCTCGCAACAAAACAATCTTAAAAGATATGTAGTCTTTCACCGTTCGCAGCAACACTGTATTTACATGGACCCAAAGTCGTCACAGCACCGTTATCTTGAGCTCATGAGAAAAAGGTAGATGATCGCCTGTCAGGCTGTCATGAGCTTAGAAGTAGAACTTCCATGCTACTGCTGCTCTCCCTGCTTAGGTGAGACCTCCCTCTTATCACTGCCATGCACACTGGGGCTCTCCAACTCCCACTGACAAGTGTCCCCAGATGGTCGGAGGGGACCCTCTTACTCCCACCGACGACTGCCCCGGCGCTGTAGGCGGGGACCCTCCAGATCCCACCGACGACGGTCTGCGGCGCGATGGGCGGGGACCCTCCAGATACCACCGACGACGGTCCGCGGCGCGATGGGCGCGGGGACCCTCCCATCCAGTGAGCGCCGCTCCCAGCCGTTGCCGCGTGCCGTGGGAGCGCGCTGGCCTCCAGCATTGCCGGGGGCATCCCGTGGCGCGTGGCGCCGCGTGCCGGTCATCTGAGTGGCTGCCGCTGCTGAGAGTTGCCCAACGCTGCGGCGATATAACCGACTAGCCACTGTGGCCGGCCACAGTGCTGCGTGTGCAGGGCAGAACACAGAGCCGACAGAGCTGATACAGTCGGTGCAGAGGGAAGCGCGACAGTCGGAGAGGCGCAGGAGAGATTCACCGCCGGGGATGAAACACTGAAAGGTGGGTCCCGCCTTCTGTGTAAACTTGGAGCTGGGCAATGTTCATTAGCATGCATTTAGCGAGACGTGTCTATCACTGTATCTAGGGTGACTAATTTAATTTCAAATAAGTAATAACTTAATCTTAGGAACCATTAATAACACTATTGAAAAAGGTAATTTGTTTTTAAGTAAAATTAGATCACGTTCAGTCAAGTGGGCTTCGGGCCACAGCGCTCCTCGAAAAGTAGCCACTGTCAGGACCACGGCATTTGAAAGAGTCTAGAACAGTTTAAATAGCCCATATTAGGTCCTGGTTATCATTAGTATTTAATTTTCGCTTACAAAGTAGTTTTATACGAATGTATAAATGCGTTATATTTTAGTTTCCCGATTATTTTTATTTTTTGCGGCATCTTTTTATTACGAATTGCTAAAGCCTAAGCTACACTAGTATGAATTCTGACGTTTTTTCGGTTTCTGCGGGATTTCGGTTCGCGTCGTCAAGTTCGCCTCATAGCGAATACATTGCGCAAGCTACACTGCCAGTTTGGCGTCCCGTGGAACGAAAACCCGCAAAAACCGACGAGTCGGAACCGAAAAAAAGTTCAGGGCTGTGAACTTTTTTCGGTTTCTGCGGGATTTCGTTTTAGTGATGAATGATTAGAAGTGATCGTTGCTAATAATATTGTAACGATGGAACAGTTTCAAATGTAAATAATGAAAATCGTGTAATTCATGATTAAAGAAGACAAGATGTGTTTTAAAAGTCATCATTCTACTTCAAATATGATCATTGTAATTAAGCTGACAAATGATAATGATCGAAAATATATTCTTGCTAGTTGTAAAATCCTTTAAACAATTATTTTTTTATAATTTTGTTAAAACACGATAATTTTAAACATGAATAATTAATTAATTTGATCACGTATCCATCACTACGCTAATAAACAACACCGGCCACGCGGCGGCCGTCCGGAACGAAAAAACGCAGAAACCGTAAAAACGCGGAAACCGAAATCACGCAGAAACCGAAAAAACGCTGATAGTGTAGCCTGAGCTTAAGTCTTCTAAACCGTTCACAGGGCGATAATGAATGCACCGATGTTGGCGCGCCTGTCGATGCGCCGCAGCGTGGTTCCAGTCCTGTTGGTGGCGTCTCTGAGCCTGCTGCGTGCAGACGCCACGCTCCTGATGGACTCTAACAGCCCCAGTGACGCTACCGGAGACGGACGGCCGACGGCGACATCCGGCCTACCGTTCAATCCCGTCGGACCGGCGCCGAGCACCCTCCAGTCCCGGCGGCAATCCAACCGGCGACCCATCCGCCGGGCAGACATCTCACTGACTCTGGGCGGCCGGCTGCTGCTCAACGGTCAGTCCAGCTCGGAGGGAGGCGGTCCGACGCAGGCTCCGGCGCCGGGGGATCAGCTGGAGACGCCGCAGTCGGTCGTCGCAGCGGAGAGCGGACCCGGCCGGCGGCGGAGCCCGCTGGCGGCTGGACAGCGGTCCCGCCGGCTGCCGCCAGAGTTCCTGGTCTTCCCCGTCTACCGGAGCAATGAAATAAACGGCAGGGAAGCTGCAGAGGGCAGTGATGGTGACAGGAACGATAACGGTGACGATGGGCGCGGACGCGGCGGGAGACAGCCCGCCCTCGAGTCTCCGCTCGTCGTGGTCACCACCACCACCACCCCCAACCGGCCGACCATTCCGCCGACACCAAAGGAGACCACCACGTCCGCTCCGGTGGAGGCCCTGCTGCCCACCCCGTCGGCGTTCGACTGCGACTCTCCGGGCGGCCCTCCGGCGTCGCTGGCGACCCGGTGCCGGGCGCTGCGCCAGCTGCGGCGGCGCACGCTGCAGCACCGGCGGCGCGCGGCGCAGCTGCTGGCCCAGCAGCAGCTGCAGCGCATCATCGACCTGCACCTGGCCGACGTGTCCGACTCCCTGACCGTGCGCGCGCTCCGGCCCGAGTCTGTGGAGCTGAAGAGGAAGGAGCCGCCGCCGAGCCGGGAGACGACCACAGAGAGCGCCGACGAGCTGCCGTTCGCTGAGCGGCTACTGGAGGAGACGTCGCTTCTGAGGGCGAGAGCCGTGCCCCAGCCGATCCCGGCACCGCACACGGCGACTGTTTCTCCGGCGCAGCGGAACAGGAGACGGAAGACGACCCTGCCCGCCGCCACCCGCACACCGCCCCCGGAGCAGCCGGACTGGGCGCTGGTGAGGGCTTCGGCAGCGGGGGACAACCGGCACGGAGTCGGCACGGAGACAGCGGCAGCGAACAGCGGCAGCGGCCGGCTGGAGACAGCGGTGGCCGAAAGGCCGCACCTAGAGACCGGCACGTCTCACAGAGAGATCAACAAGCTACACAGAGACACCGACAAACAGCATAAAGGCTCTGAAAAGCCACACTCGGAGGCCTACAGACACTTCGCAGAGATAGAAAAGCGACACAGGGAAACTGAAACGACTACAAGAGAAACCGACAAGCCCAACACAGAAACTGACAAATCACTCGTTAAAGCCCTTATATCTCATTTGAAGACCGAAAAACTGCACAAACAATTCGGAAAACCACACAAACATGTTGACACACTGCACATTAATACCACAAACTACCAAGCAACGACAGGCAACCGGTATGGAGGCAATAATCCTGCTAAACAGCAGGACAAATATCATAAAGATACAAGCACGCGTCTCACAGGGGTTGTCACACCTCACAAAGAACCGATATCGCCTCACGGACGGACGGACGGGACGGAGAGTGAGCGGCGGTGGAGGACGTACAGCTCCGTCAGCCCTAACAGCATCCGAACGGCGCCCGACAGACCGGAGGAGCACGTCGCCGCGGCCATCAGTCCACTCCCCACAGCTCCAGGTACGATAGGGAGGGTCGCATACTCGATAACTAGAGGCGAAATGCTTACTTTAATGTTTATATTATTGCGTTGTCATATCCAGTATACTCGTATACGTTACTATTGTATTTTCCGACTAATATGCATGCCGTCGAAGGCTGAATGTCTGAAGTCTGAACCGTCGCCGCGTTTCGCAGGCTCGCTGTTCACCACGACCATAGTGCCGGAGGGCGGTATGCCCATCACCCAGAAGGGCGTCATCCCGGGATTGCTGGACATCCCGGCGCGGGTGTACTTCAGCTGCCGGCACCGGGCGCCGGGATTCTACGGAAACTCGCAGACCGGCTGCCAGGTGAGACTGATGTGATGCAGATTAGACGGTCGGTGATATAGCAGACAGCTAAAACGGTGAGCTAGACATAAGACAGTCTTTTGTTGTCAGTCGAAACGGGAGTTACTGTAGGTGAGACTACAGAGAAGGATAGATAAATAAGTGACCGATGGCTCTCGGGAGGCGAGCCTCCTGGTAATCTGATTGTAGAGTAGTCAGTCTGATAGATTATCAGAGGCACTAACGTATGGGCTTACCTACAAACATGAGAAAGAAGCATTACCCCTCCCCATGAGTTACTCGATATATTACCCAGTAGATCACTGTTTATTGCCAATTATTACATTTTATTTGTGCATTAGAAACATACAACTGCAGTTTTGCTTTTCTAAAACATAGAAGCTTAAAACACCATTATTTGGAGAAGCGAAAAAGGTACAAACGATAAAACGCATTAAACAAAATCCTGGATCAGACACGGTATTCCTTGTGGATACTTGTCGCTGGCCTAAGCCGGTATTTAAATTGTTGCCCATGCCCCTGGGATTCAGCGGGCCGGCCCCTGCCACCTCCCAGCACAGTGACCAATGTGACGTCACTGTCCGTGACGACTGTAATTGGTCGCGTCACGGTGGCAGCAGCCGTGGCCGCTGCCAGTTGCGATAGGCCGCACAGAGGACGGAGGTGGATTGCGAGACAGCCCAGCCCCGGAGAGTTCCCAGACGGTCCGGCGCCGCCGGCCATCGGCCCCAGCTGCCCCAGTCGGCCGAATCAGAGCTGGCTCATGGGGCCGTTTCAAAATCACATCACAGATCACACAGGTGTGCTCCAGTGAGAGACGCTTGTCATGCAAGATAACGACCTCAAGGCCGTTTGAAACTCACGTCCAGCTCAGTCGTAAATTCTCATTGGCCTTCAAATGTGAAGCTTGGCATTAGGATGGTGGAGTATGACATTTCTTACAGCCATTCTTAGACGACTTTGAAGAACATTCCAGTGTTTTGTTTTTTAGTGTAATACCTTCATATCCTAACTGCTTGTCATTAGTCTTTCTTCTTTTCCCAGTAATTGATGTCAAATGATACAGCTTGAATCAAAGGTCAGGTAATGAAGATTCTGTTGGGATCGTAACAGTCCTGACTCCTGACCCATACCTACCTATAAAATTCCGAAATTCCTTGAGCCCTCTCTGGCATCTTAGACCGGGGTGAGGTTCTCTCATATTACTAGTGGTCCTTAAGACCACCGTATACCTTCCGAGACAGCTATATTACCGCACATGGGCAGAGGGTCCATTCGCATTTATGCATTTGATTGAGGCCTTATCAGGTAAGTAAGGTAATTTGTGCCCACCTGTGGGACCCTTAAATGCTGCGTGTGGAGATACGGAGCTACTGGTACAGTGTATGACCGCCAGAGGTCGCGCTGGCACTATAGGCATGCGCTACCGCGGCTGCCGAGCCGTGGTGCCACCTGTGCTCACTGCAGAACTCATAGAGAGCTTAGTGCCACCTGTCGACGGTAATCGGAACAATCCGACAGAATGAACACCATTGCTTGCCGATCTGGCTTCACAGCTGTATCGTTTCCTTCTGTGTGTTGTGGTGCGCATCGCTGCAGACTAAATCATTCGAAACCGTGCCTTGTGCACTGCTGTTGCCTATTTATTGGTATGATTGTGTTATGATCTGTTGCAGTCTCCTTTCATCGATGGGTAGATATGCGCTGTTGCAGTCTCCGCCTCCACCTCTCGGTGTTACCGTGCTGTGCACTGTTGCAGTCTCTACTTAACGGTGTTTCCGTAGTGTGCACAGTTGCAGTCTCTTCTTATCAGTGTTACCGTGTTGTGCACTATTGCAGTCTGTACTTATTGGTGCTACTGTAGTGTGCACAGTTGCAGTCTCTACCTATCGGTGTTACTGTAGTGTGCACAGTTCGTCTTTTCTTATCAGTGTTACCGTGCTGTGCACTGTTGCAGTCTCTACTTATCGGTTTTACCGTGTTTGCACTGTTGCAGTCTCTACTTATCAGTGTTACCGTCTTGTGCACTGTTGCAGTCTCTACTTATCGGTGTTTCCGTAGTGTGCACAGTTGCAGTCTCTTCTTATCAGTGTTACCGTGTTGTGCACTGTTGCAGTCTCTACTTAACGGTGTTACTGTAGTGTGCACAGTTGCAGTCTCTACCTATCGGTGTTACTGTAGTGTGCACAGTTCGTCTTTTGTTATCAGTGTTACCGTGTTGTGCACTATTGCAGTCTCTACTTATCGGTGTTACCGTGTTGTGCACTGTTGCAGTCTCTACTTATCAGTGGTACCGTGTTGTGCACTGTTGCAGTCTCTACTTATCAGTGTTACCGTGTTGTGTACTGTTGCAGTCTCTACTTATCTGTGTTGTGTACTGTTGCAGTATCTACTTATCGGTGTTACTGTAGTGTGCGCAGTTCATCTCTTCTTATCAGTGTTACCGTGTTGTGCACTGTTGCAGTCTCTACTTATCGGTGCTACCGTGTTGTGCATTACTGCAGTCTCTACTTATCAGTGGTACCGTGTTGTGCACTGTTGCAGTCTCTTCTTATCGGTGTTACCGTGTTGTGCACTAGTGTTGCAGTCTCTACTCATCGTAAATAGTGTGCACTGTTGCAGTCTCCGCTGTATGTGATAGTGTGTTGTGGATAGTTGCAGTCTCCGTCTGTATGTAATAGTGTAGGTACTATGCACTGTTACAGTCTCCGTCTGTATGTGATAGTGTGGTGTGCACTGCTGCAGTCTCTATCATTGTTACTGTGTAGGTACTGTTGCAGTCTCCCTTTCTCGGTGTTACTGTGTTGTGCAGTGCTGCAGTCTTTACTTATCCGGTGTTCCTGTGATAGGTACTGTTGCAGTCTATCTCTCGGTGTTACTGTGATTGCATTAACTGTTCCAATACACTGTTGTAGTCTCCACCTATCGGTGTTACCTCGTTATGCACTGCTACAGTCTCTACTCATCAGTGTTATTGTAATGTGCACGGTTGCAGTCCCCGCCTGTATGTGTTATTGTGGTGTACATAGTTGCAGTCCCCGCCTGTATGTGCGATTGTGGTATGCACTGTTGCAGTCTCTGCCTTTATACATGATACCTAGTAGTGATGTCAATTACAGAAAATCGGAACACCGATACCAAACCAAATACCAACCAAAACCGCGGGGAAATACCGAAACCGAACCAACATGGGAACAAGAGGGAAATACCAACTTCTTACCAATTTCTTAGCCTCTTCTTACACATTAGTGAGGGTTCATAATACCAACAAAATACCAAACACATTAGGATTGAAATACCAAATACCAAGTTGGTATCGGTTTGGTATCAGTATATCAAAAAGTTGGTATCCGATTGACATCTCTAATACCTAGTGTACTGTGCACTTTAGTGCAGTCTCCGCCTATATATAGGGTAGTGTGGGGCAATTTGAACATATTTTTACGTCTTCTCCATTGTACCAAATTCCAGTTCAACCCTGGATGAAGAAAAACTGCTTCAGTAGCGCAAGTGTCACTTGCTTTCACCATGCAAGCCTCATTTTTGGACGAGCCGAGCATACCTTGAATAGCATAGCCTCACTTCTCCACCAAGTCACGGTGTTGAGGATTATCAATTGACAGGTGTGACATATTATAGTGCATGTATGGCCTAAACTTTTGAATTCATTTTAAAAGGGGAAAAAACGCAAGAAATTACCCTATTTCTATTTCGGCTAATTTCTTGCGTTTTTTCCCCTTTTAAAATGAATTCAAAAGTTTAGGCCATACATGCACTATAATAAGTCACGGTGTGTTCAAATTGCCCCACCGTGGGGTAATTTGAACATACTGCCTTTACCTGTCATAAAAACGATAGTCTCGCCAGCACCGATGTTGTTTGAACCATAAACAAATAGGCAGAACAATTCTAAACATACCTTCACTTGAAAAATCAACACAACAGCAAAAATAACAGTTGCAGAGTATCAATATCTGCACGCTGCACACCGGTCAGTTGACAGAATTCGCCCCTTTTCAATTAACAGAACGTCTATCATTTTTGTTCAATAAAAACTCTCCCAACCGTACTACATCTGTTAAAGTGGTGCCAATCGAAACCTGGACATTTGGAGTTCTGATTTTGTCCAATGTCCAATTCGGAATTGGTTGGACAAAGGTAGCAGACTGGACAACATTGGACGATGGCTTGCTACACTTCAGCGCTTGCCGCTTTTTATAAAGTAATCGTGCATAGGATTGATTGGCGAATGGAAAGCTTGTTAAGCTCTCAATATAATGAAAACTTTTCGGCTGGTAAAATTACATGATAAGCAATATAAATGACGGTTTCGAGTGTTGATAGCTGCATAAATTTTCGGACATATTTGGACAAATAGTTGACTTTAACATTTTTGGACGGAAAATCAACAAAAATGCCGGACATTAGACGGATATTAGACGTAAATTTTCTAAAACTGGCATCACTTATCTGCTACTGCCTTGGGTCGAAAATATTGGCAAAAAAAAACTGGGAGCGTTGTTTTTTTCGGAGCTATCCCTGTCTTCATTCAAATTCTCACACTATGTTCAAATTACCCCACGCTAAAAGTTATTTTGCCATTTTAAAAAACAGGGTTCAAAAGCAAATTTCTTGGATTGAAGGCACTGATTAGGTCATTATACAACAAAAGCCGTTGCGTATTAGGCGCTAGCAATGCAAGATTTTGCGTTGCAATGAAGTTGCAATGACGTGTTGTTAGGCGTTTTTCCTTGTGAAATTGATTTTTTTACACTGTGCGTCAACATCTTCATTCCCTGAAACTTTAAACCCCGTTCATATGATAGCCCTTTTAGTTACGATAATTTCTCTCATTGGTCTTATTGTCATTCGACTTATGGATTTTCCGTAATTTTGTGTTATTCACACTATGTTCAAATTGCCCCACATGTTCAAATTACCCCACCCTACCCTAATAGTGTATACTCTGTTCCGTTTCAAGCTTGCAGCCGAAGTGCCGTGCTGAAAGCAGTGCGTGATTTCAGCATATACAGCTCTTACATTTTAACCCTCGCCGGACCTATTGGTTTTCTACATACGCGCCGGCCGAGGGAGTGGGGGGGGGCGGGTACGACCCCCCCTCGCCGTTTCGCCCCTGGTGGAGCTAGCGCGTCGCGGAAAAACGAGCGTGTGTGCCGTTACGAGACGCAGAGATTGGTACCCGATTTTAAGGTCCTAGGTCAAGTGATGACCTCTGAGGTCAGGTCAAGTGCCCAAGGGTACGGTTTAGTTTTTGGTGAATAACTTCGTAAAAAACGGCCGCAGAGCCGCGATTTTGGCAGCATCGTATTCGCCTTGCTCAGGCGCGTCGAATGATATACTTTTTGTTCGGGTCAGGTCAACTTAGGGTGTTGACCTCAGGTCAAGGTCAGGTCAGCACCCCCAGGTCACGAAGTTGGTCGAAAGAGGTCATGTCGCATATCATTCGATTCGGCAGGTCTTCCTGAGTCCATTGGTGGCTTTCTCGACTCGCTAGCTCAATTTGATCGGGAGTTATTGACGAAAACTAATATGACCTTGATGACGTCATAAATGACGTCACGGAAGATCAACATTGCAAAAGTGACGCATCTAACCTTGCAAGGAGTGCATCAAATCACGATTCTGTGTGCTTGAGATAGTTGGAGATCGTTCCCGGCGCCAGAATAGCAGTTTTCATTTTTCCCCATTGACTTATAATGGTAAGGTCACGAAAATGACCTGACCTCATATGACCTTTAGGAAAAATCCGAGATATACAAATTGTGAGACTCATAATGGATACTAGATCCTGCAAGTTTCATTTCCTTGTGACATCTCCTCTGGCAGTGAGGGCGTTGCGAAGTTGCGACATCTGAAGACCGTGCAGAGGTTCACTTATGACGTCATAGGTCAGTGACCTGACCTGACCCAAAAATGCGGTTGGTGTCAAAAGATGCGGCTTGGATCAAAGGTCAGGTATGCCAAGTTTCAGCTCTCTATCGCCAGCGTGTTCGGAGCTATCGCAAAAAAAAACCTATGGGAGGGCGGCACCCCCCCTCGGCCGGCGAGGGTTAAGACGCAAATTCTTGAGCGGAGGAGCGATCTGCCGAAGAAACTCCGACTACAAGCTTGATATGGAACAGACTATAGTGTGCACTGTTGCAGTCTCCACCTGTGTGTAATTATAGTGTATTGGGCACTATTGCACTCGCCGCTTGGATGAGCTAGTGCAGTGTGCACAGTTGTAGTCTCCGCCTGTGTGCTAACGTACTGTGCACTGCTGCAGTCTCTGCCTGTGTGTGATAGTGTAGTGTGCACTGTTGCAGTCTCCGCCATTTTGTGATGGTGTAGTGTGCACTGTTGCGGCCTCCGCCTTTTCGTGATGGTGTACTGTGCATTGTTGAGTCTCTGACTCCCAGCGATATTCTTGGCACAACATATTGTCTAATTCCATTGCTGCACTCTCCACACATTAGAGCTTATTTCTCACTGTCATAACGAATTACTGTCATCAATTTCCGTGCACTGACATGTCGCCGGCGATTAGCTGGAGACGTGCTCGGTGGTGGGCGGGGCAGCTGACCTTCGGAGCGGGTGCCGGCTCGTCCCAGCATCCTTTCCCTGCGGACCGGCGCGGCGCGGCCGGCTGACCGGTCCGGTTCGGTACGGGGCCGCGGGAGAGGGAGGGGGGTGAGCAGGGCTGGTGTCGTCACTGCACCACTGCACTGGTGACCGACCCCGGCACGGCCGCGCGTCCCGGACAGCACTGCCGCAGACCGCCGGACAAACCCCGGTAACAAGGCAGTCTTCGCAGCTCTATACGTACTGTAAATAAGGAGACAAAGTATGGTGCTTCTCACCCTCCACCCTAACCGCACCGCACGACTTCTCAGAATAATGAGACGGCGACACTCCTGCATTCCGCAAGGCCAGGCATCAGCCTCCCCGCCTGCGATGTTCTTTTCCCAGCGTCGATGTTCTTCCCAGACGTTGCATCACATTAGCTTCTAGGCATCGTTATTTCTGATAATGCTCGTGATTCCACGAGTTTCATCTCTTGACTCGAGACAGAACCGCTGAGCGCTTGCCGCAGCTTCAGTGATGTCATGTTTGTTGTAAAGATAAGCATAATGGCCAGGGGCAAAAATCCTAATGATGAGTCAAAGGGCAACTGTTACTTGTTTCGAAAATAATGTCCCTTACGCGTCAGCTCTTTTCATTGTTGCACACTTTCAGTCGGTATACTGGCAATGAAAGCAGCTGTTTCAACATTCATTCAAATCGTGACACAGCGGCAGGCGCCGCCAATATCCGAGACCGGTGAAGAGTTGTCCTGTGAGTCGGACCTGACCGTCCGGCTGTCCTCGGCAGGTGTACCACCAGTGTACGCCGGACGGAAAGAAGTACGACTACCTCTGCGGCGTGGGCACAGCGTTCAACGCGAAAACAAACACCTGCGACCACTGGTACAACACATCATGCGAGAGATACTGATGGAAGCCCGCAGTGACCATCAGAGTACCGTTAACAGTGTTGGTGAACGACAACACGGCTCGCAAGCGCTTCCAGTGTTCACAGTGTCAGTTCACTGTGTCCAGTCCAATGTAACTGTTGTCCAGTTAATGACCATTGGTTCGAGCGTCAATGTTTTAGCTCCATGTTCTGTCGTAAGTGCAGTGTCTGTGATAAATGTTTTAAACGTTTAGCGGTTATGCTCGTGTACGCGTATCTATTCGTGTATGAGTACATGTTTCGATGAGACGTATATCCGCTATACGTTCATACTCACACCACTTGTTAAATGAAGCCCGCTGTTCTCTATTGGAAGAGTTCTTGATTTAAACTAGCAATGCCAGTTTTTTACACTAATTCTGAACAAAATAGCTATAATTGTTGATAGTGTTGATAGTTAGAGTCGACACTTTTTTGGTATTCATGAAATCATATTCAACTCATATACACTGTACAGTGCAGCTCACGAATTGATACCAGTGCTTGCAAGGAGAAGGGCAATGCGCACATTTGAGTTGAGTGTGCCGTATGTAATATGAGTGTAATAATTATTGTATTTGCAGTTATCGTATTATGAGCGCCGTGAATCTTCGAGTATTGTTTTGTCATTGTCATTGTGGTCTATAGGATATGTGACTAGAGTGCATGATAATCACTCGAGCCTGCTCCGCTAATGCATGGGTTGGTACTGCTTCATTGCTCCCATAGTATAGGCAGCAGTGGGAGGAAGTGTTCAGGAGGAAATTGGCGCTTCTTGGCGTGAAGTGTTCAACACTCACCTGTGCGGTGTATGACAAGTCATTTGAAATAAACAGAGTCTTTCGTCAATTGTTATTGTCGGTAGGCTAAAACGGAGACAGTGCTTTTCCTAGGGCTTTGTACCCTATAATGCGAGGTAAAAAGCTCATAAGATGGCTCTCTGTTGTGCCCAAATGTTCATTAATCATTGGTACCTAATAATCTTTAGACTTACATCAATGCTATGTGAAAAGGAAACGGAATATTTTTTCAGCATGGAAAACAAATCATTTTCGTGCTAAAATATAGACCATGCATACTGCATAGTCAGATCTGATGGATTAATGAAAAAATAGTTATGTGGAAGTGATTGAATGCCCTAGCATAGTTTGTCGTGTATGTAGGTATGGGCGTTTCTGCCGGGACTCGGAGCTGCGTAGTTTGGCAAATTCACCCAAATGTCCTCACTCATTGCACATACAGTACCAATGAACCGGTAGTTGGTTTAAGCTAGCCAATACACAAAAGGTCTAAACGGCTGTTTTTTTATAAATACCCATGTGAATAAGCCATGTGCTCATGGATGAGCCCTGTCTGAGACAAAGATTCGAGGTCAGCGGCCAGCCGCTCCAGAGCCAGTTCTGCTTCCGGGTCTGTGTGCGCGCGAGCAGCACCAGAGCATGGACAGAGACGGCGGACGGTCCATCAGACCGCGGGCGCCCGCGGCGGGGGACTCCAAACCACGGACGACTCTCCTGCGGAACATCCTTGGACACGCCGTGGGAACCAACGACTGCGCAGGCCATGAAAATTAGACCTTATTATGATAAGTGAATATCAACGCCAAAAAAGCATAATTTGACTTCGCGCTTTTTTACCAATATTTCTTTATTTCTTTCTACCTTACCGAATTAAAGTTAGAGCGTTTAGGGCTGTATGTTCAAGTAATAACCGGTACCTACATACATAAATGTTTAGTGAATCCAATTCACATCGAGCTCGTGCTAGATGATGAACTAAGTAAGCCTGATGCATATATAAATGCTATACGCATTTAGGACGAGATGGTTACATCACGGATCACCTAATGTGATCAGTGGTTCCATGATGGCCAAGCATGGAAACACACGAAGACCGTTTTGGACAAAAGCTTAAGTTAAATATATGGATCTTAGCTTTCAATTTCAAATGTAATAAAAATATCTTACGATTTGAGAGAAATTTAACAAGACTTAAAGGTATCCTTCTTCCATCGGACTAAAATGGCAATCTTCACCTTAGTAGAATAAGCTAGCCTTCTCGCACTTACAGTGAAAAAAAGGAGTCGAAGAGATTTCCCACCTCGGGTTTTCGCAAGAAAAAAAACTCACGCAAAAATCGGCCGATCGCAACGAAACTTTCAGTACCCTTGAGTTGATCAATTTTACACCTACCCTGAAAATTTCATGACCCTGACCCAAATGACCTTTGATCTGTGACCTGTTTCTCGAGACCATGTTTGGCCGGAATCGCGATTCCGCGTGCGTCGGCTCACATTATCCCGCCGGTCCCGCATTTCCAGTCTTTTGTGGTTTTAAACGTTCAACTATGTGAAACGATGTTGGTCCCGTGTATTATGGTGAGTGTCTAGGTCACGCGAAGGTTAGGTCAAGGTCATTGACCTTTGAATGACCTCGGTTCACTTTTTCGAGCCTTTCATGTTTCTAGGGTAATTGTTCAGCTGATTTCGACTTTGGCTCCCATTTAAATATTTACGAAGCAGTCTTAGTGCCTTCGTAACATATTACAAAGCTATCAGTGGTGGTTGAGACCTACTATGGAGCAAGCCAGCAGGACGCCTACTGGTTGACCTGACCTGACCTGACCCGACGTGGCTTAACTGCATGAAGACATCATCTGTGATCAAAACTAACGTGAAATTCGTGATCTGCACCCCGTAAAACCCCTTTACAACCTTATTTTGCCAACAGGTCCGATTTTCCAGACTTTTGGTTCATTGACCTGACCTGGAAGGTCAACCAATGACCCAGGACCTCAAAATTGGGTATCATTGGCTTCCTCTCATTACGGGCAACACGTTCTTTTTTCGCGAAGCTCTAGCTCAAAGGGCCGAACGGCAGGGGGTCTATTGGACCCTCTATCCCTCCCCCTATGTTATACGCCGACAAAACACCAATACGGGCGAGGGTTCAGCGGTCAGCCTTAACCCTCGCCCATGTAGGGGGGGGGGTTGGTGCGACCCCCCCCCCTGAGGTTTTTCGGAAATAGTGCAAAAACGGCGGCGCGCAGCGCCGCCAAATTTTGGGTACCTTATGGGGCAAACCTTGCGCATCTTTTGATAAAAAAAATTTGACCGGGTCATGTCAGGTCACGGAGTTATGACGTCACAAAGGGAACAGCCTCCGGCCGGATTTTCACAAACTGAGTGCCAACGCCCGAGGTTTCCTGCCGGTGGTACGGACATCGGTTGATGGATCGTGATGAAACTTCCCATGCATGTTGGGGCAAGTATTGGCTATCATATGGTATAAGAAACTTGACCGGGTCAGGTCAGGTCACGGAGCTATGACGTCACAAGAGGAACAGCGTCCGGTACTATTTTTGAAAAGCGCCCGAACCACTATTTTGCTAATTCTTGTCACCTCAATGGGAATATGCAGCAATATTAGCTTCTATAGGGAGCAAATGGACCTTCCAAATCCAAAAATACAATCAGATTTCAAAAATTTAAATTTTGATTTTTCGAATTTCTGCCGCCGACTGTGACCTTGCCGACTTCCGGCGCTCCCAACGCGCCATTTTTAGAGCTAGGGAAACGAAATACATACCAAACGATAGAGAATTGATCAAGGAACACGATAGTGAGGGTTTCAAGTCGATATCTCCCACCGTTTTGCCGCAATCGCCGCGGAAAGTTGAAAAAAGACTATTTTTCCGAAAATTTGACCTTTGACCGGTCAAAAGTAGGTCAAATGTTGACCTAGGACCAAAAAATATACCACCAATCGCGAGATCTCGGCGAGAGCAATCCGTTGGTCTTTTCCGCTAAGCTCTACGACGCTCCGTTTTCAAACGCCAAGGGGGGGGTCGCACCAACCCCCCCCCTGCATGGGCGAAGGTGGCAGATCGCCGTTTACGGGCGAGGGTTAATTCAACCAATTAAGTAGGCAGCTACATCAAACTTAAACCTCCAGGTAGGGCGCTTCCAGCCTAAGCGTGTCAGTAGGTTAAACAGCTGCATCCGCTGCATTAAATCAATTTAGATCAGACTGGCACTCCCGTCTCCTCCGATAACTACCAGTGCCTATCAAGTAGCATCAATATGCCAGACAACTCCCCCTTAGTCCAAAGCAAATCGGTCTACCCCGGGGCGTTGAGACTTGGACAACAGTTGAATTGCAAACGCGTCTTGATGTGCAGCCATTTAGCAGCGACAGCCTGCAGATACGGTGGCCACTGAGTCAAGGTGCTAACAGCAGCCAGCTCAGTGCGTCTCCCATTATCTGCCCGGGCGGCGGGGCGGGGCGGGGCCGGACCGACAGGCGGGGCGGGGCGGGGCGGGGCGCCGCCTGGCGGAGTCGTGGCCGCCGCCGCCGGAGAGAAAGCGGCCCGGAGAGCGGCCGCTGCACGGCCGGTCAGTGAGGCAGCGTCAGCGGCACGGGCCGCGCTCAGCTCTCCAGTGGGCCGCCAGCGCGCCGCACGCCCGTGTCTCGGACCGCCGTCCACCGCGCCACCGCCGAGAACCGGCCACTGCAGGACACCCCATCAGGTAACGGCAGACGACCGGCCGCCGGTCACCCCTGCCCGCCAGAGCACGGGCCCGTATATCAGAGTCCCTCGTCGCACAGGTAGAACCCTACCTCTAGTCACCTACCAGAGTATGTTGCATCCCATGCCGTACTGTTTCCCACCACAGGCGCTTCACGAACAGACGTACCTTGTGCATTTGAAGTGTTGCGGCAGCTCCCAAACAACCAGTACCTATAGCCACAGACCACCTACAACCATCATCCCCAGTTTGTAACTTAGAGTAATTTACTCATCTTACAATTTTTCACTTTTAACTAGTTCTAGTAGCATTCAGCCACAGCATTCAGTTACTTTACTGAGTCAGCAGTCACAATAATTCTCTAATGGGCAGCACTTCGTAGTGGAGTGTTGATACACACTTTTGCAGCCAAAAACAGCTATCACTGCAGCTTCACTAGAAATTATAAGCCTGTGTGTTTGCCGTCTCAGCTAGGTTGGTGAGACCCTGAGAGCGGCAGAGCCGCCCGTCCCGCTCAGCACCCGCTGAGGATTACGACGGAGATTGTCAGCATTTGGCCTTGAATAAGATAGCCGGTCTTGCAGAAAGAAACACTGCACATGGTGCACTCCTGAAAGCAAATGGGCTTCTGCGCAACATGACTCAGTGCGACGTATTAAGCGCACTTCGATTTGCGGTTCTGAACGGTCAAAACTATCAATTGAAAACTAGACAGAGCCCTGAGAGCCGAGAGGAAACTTAATTGCCAGTTTCTGAGTGCATGCCCGTCACTATTGCTTAATCTGATCTTTTAGGACGTGCACCGTTGCAAAACCCACAACGGATGAAAGTTGTCCGCCGTGAATCGTGATAACTGTAAGCACCTTTCCAGCAGGATTGAGTGTTATCAGTTATGCACTGTATCCAGTCGAAGCGCACGTTTAACCTAGCGCCGGAACGAGACCCCAGCGTTGTTTTCTGCCGAGTGGCGGGCGCAAACAGGCCGTGTTTTCCCTCGGCCTGACGTCTCTATATCAGCGGCTCATCTCGGACCCTCTGTCGGACAGAGGCGCCCCTCCCTGGCTCTGCCGGCCCCACTGCTCGGCTCCCGGAGCCGGCGGCGCAGGCTAGCCTTGGCCGACCCATGTAGGCAGCGCCGCCGAGCGGACACCAAGGTCACCCAATTCCGGCGGCGCGCCGCGCCCCGGGCGGGGTCGCACGCGGGGCCGTGTCGCCCTCAGAGACGGACAGCTCGCCCCGGCTAGCCACTGGTCATGCGCAAGCGCAGCCCACGTAAAAACTAGCCCGACCGCTGCGGCGCCCGAGCCGCAGAAAGTGGCACAAGCTGCTCCGCACACCAGACTGCAGATAATGTAATCACATGAGCTTTGATAGTTTTGTAAATGACAGACCTCTTGCATCTTCCAGATTGGCGCAAAAATGCAAAGCTTGAGGAGCACAACTTACATTGGTTCCCTAGCTGAGTAATAAGTAATTATCCTGGCGAAATTGGTTCGGTAACAAGTACAACTTTCAAGCCAGAAGCAAATTTTAGCAGTAAAGAAATTTATCCATCGGTTGGTTGACAGCTCGAACTGTGGCAGCCTGGCAATCGTACCAGTATTGAACAAGATGTCTTTTTTCTACCCAAAATGACAGAGTTGAGTCATACATCATTGACTAATGAACTGGTTGGCCAGTCCGGCCCACCTATTTGCACCATCCTGCAATTCAAAAAGCTGCTCTGATGACTTGCGCAACGCTCCTAAAAATGACATTGCAGTGCTTTGCCGTCTTTTCTTCTTCCTCTTTCTCAACACGTTGGCCATTCGTCCATTGTCGGGTTCTCACCAGCGTCCACTGGTGTCCAGATGTATGTATGCCAGGATTCAGAGACTCGTCGTCACCTCGACCGGGTCCTTTCACCTTCACTGAGAGATCACCTTGAGCGGGCTGGTGGCTGGGAGGCCGACCGGCCACCGGCGCCGGCGCCGGGTCGTACCGAGAACCCGTCTGCTCGTCACTCGAGAGCCTTCGGAGCCTCTCCGGAAGCCGCAGAGCCGACCGCCGCGTCCCGACTGCAGTACCCGGCCCATACGGCCAGGGGAGTCGGCTGCAGTCACTGGAGTCGAGTGTAGTCACTGGAGTGGACTGCAGCTATTGGAGTCGGCAGCAGCCACTGAAGTCGACCGGCAACTATTGGAACCGGCCGGCAACTGCAGTCACTGGAGCCGCCAGCAGCTATTGAAGCCGGCAACCACAGCTACTGCAGCCGGCCGGAGTACCTACTGTCAGTAGTCGCTGCCGCTGGATCCGGCAGGTAACCAGTCACTGGAGCCGGCAGCAGCTATTGGAACCGGCCAGTGAGCACAGTCACTGGAGCCGGCAGGTAGCCAGTCACTGGATCCGGCACCAGCTATTGGAACCGGCCGGCGAGCACAGTCACTGGATCCGGCGGCAGCTATTGGAGCCGTCCAGTGAGCACAGTCACTGGAGCCAGCAGCAGCTGCAGCGAGTCAGTGGGCCCAATCACATCCGCGGGAGTCGGGTGCAGCCACAGGAGCCGTCCGACTAACGACTCAAGTGGGCTCAACTAACCAATTTTATATGGCCACCGAGAGCTGACCACAGCACCTGTGAGCACAACCTCAGTTACTGGAGGAGTTGAATCATAGCCGCAGTGGCCAATGCCAGCCTCTCGGTAATAAACAGGGGATTAAGACAAATTATAAAAGTAAATTATTTCCCTTGAGTTGGCATCAATCAACCGAGGGAATGAGCATTGAACAGGTCTCCTGCCAACAACAAGCTTAGGAAACAGACAAGCTGACAATCAATCTGAGCGAAACCTGTCAAATGAGAGACCTCGAACACTGCCAACCGCATACAGAGTAGTATGCCTTGAAGTTTTCACTGGCCGGCAAAAAGACGCCACCATTCATTATCAGGTGAATGGAGAGCAGGAATTAATCTGGTCGACCCCGGAAACAGTGGCCTGCCGGGTGCGGTCCGCGCTGGGATCTTCCCAGGCGGCTCTGTGGCCGGTGAGAGGCCCGTTACAGAGACGGGCCACGCTCGGGCGGGCGGAGCCGGACCGCCGCGCACGACCGCTCGACTCTGGACGGTTGGCCGGCGCCCGGGGCGGGGGAGCGGTCCGGCGGCGGCCTTCGGTGCGCGCACCGGCCAGCACCGCGGCGCACTCCCTACCTCTGCCTCCGGTGACGTCGGCAGAGTCGGGATCGCCGGCCGTGGAATTACCATACCGTCAAGGAGGCCATGAGGCGCTGCGCGGATACCTATCACAATGCCAATCATCCAATGGTATTCATAGTTTTAACTGCCTGAGCATACAATGTACGTGAAGATTCATGGATGTATGTCAGCTGGCTCTGAGACGGTGCTTTAATGATGTAGGTGCCACTCGTTAACTCTTCAAAGGACACCCACGTAAAACACCCGTCCAAGGTTAGGCCTTGAAGGGCGCCGCTGCCACTCCGAGCGATCACACCGGCCTGGTGAGCCCCAATTCACGTGCGCCCGTTTACACGGCACTCTACAGCCCCGGGACACGGAGTGTTACGGGGCTGTGTTATGGAGACGGGTTGTTAGTCAGCCGTCCGTCCGTCCGTCCGTCCGTCCGTCCGTCGGTCAGTCAGTCGGCTGACATTGACTTTGAGTGGCCACTTTCACCGACGGCCGGCGGCTAGCTGAGCAGCCACCGGTGTGCGGTCGGCCGGTGCTCAGAGCCGCCCCCGTGCCGCCCGGCCGGTCCCTGACCCGCCGGCCGAGGATGGCCGACCACCGACAGTCGACACACACCTGTTCCACCCGCGACAGCCAGCCGCTCGTGCTCGGAGCGGCGCCGGCCAGCGGCCCACTTTCCTCAGTCACCTGGTGACCCCAGAGCGTGCGCCGCGCAATAAACGTCTCATGCGGCCAGTGTGGGCGGAAGGACAATAACTTGACACTCGACCGGAAAACATATTACGTAAAAGTAGATAAGTGCCACAATGACCAAGCCGGAAACCTGGTGAAAAAGTCGTGCAGGCTGCAGAGTAAATATGAGATAAGGTACTTGGAAGCCAAGCTCGTTTCCCCGGCAGATATGGCATGTTTGGTGGTGTTTTGTTATGCATAACATAGCTATCTCTTAATATCTTTTTTTACAACTTTACTAATTGAGTACACATTGACATAACTACCCGAGACGAGTAGGCACCCAGGGAGAACGCATTCAGGCACAAATGAGAAATTAGGCCTACCTTCTCTCATGAATGAGAAATTAGGTAACTTCTCACGATCAACTGATAAACGAGTCTCCTTTAGATGCAAACATTACATAAATGTAGTAACATACCGTCAATAAACGCGCTAACCCCTTATTCGTCACCTACTTAGGCCTCCTATCAATGCCCAATTCCGTGAGATTTCTGACTGTATGCCGGCGCTGTGCGTTATTGTGACGGCCTTTGTTCTGTCTGTGTTTCAGGCTCTGCCACCCGGGCACAATGGCTCCCAGGGTGGTATTTCTGATCGCCGGCACTGGTGAGTAACTGACGCGGCGCGGCTCTGACCCGGGTGGCATTGAGAGAGGGAGCCGTGGGACTAGTAGTCGAGTGAGAGGGCGGGGTGATAAGACTATTTGCCATGGCTCACAGCCCACAGGCTTGTAGGTTGGCACTTGGCAGGACGCGCAGCTGAGCATGCGGCACCAGCCATAGCACGGTAAATACAGAACAAACGTTGAGCGAGCTGGGATGTAAGGGGATCGATCGATCGACTGAAGTCACAAACGTATGTAGATATGGCGCTATTTCAGATTTTCGTCAACTCACATATAGGTTCGGAGCATGACTATTGATTTAAACATCGTATCGTGCAATCAAAGTAGGTAAGCAGTCACGACGTGCAGACTCATGCGTCAATATTTTTTTACACAACAGACCGGCGTTAAACGCAAAAGTTCACTCCGGTGTTCACAAGCTGTGGTTATTCAATCAATCAGATTAGTTAACATTTAACAAGCTTTCAAATTGTTAAAGTGATTTTTACGGAGTCATACAGCAAGAATAATAAATCAGCACCGATTTCAATGCTTGATCATAGCTTGATTGATACAAATGCACATTGAAACCCTGGTTAATGTCACTTCGGTGAGGATGATGACAGAAAAGACCGAAGGTTAAGACGTGCACACAATGAAAGCACGACAAAGTGCGCCGCGTCTCCTCTCGGTGATATAATCGGTCAGCCGGGCGTGTAGCGGGCGTATAGCGGCCGTAGCCACCCTCGCGGCGAGCTGCAGCACTCCTTATCAGTCTGCCGTTCCGTTCGCCGTGCTGTCCGGGGAAAGTTCACCGTCCGCGCTGGCCTGGGCGTGTCCGCACCAGCTGCGGCCCGGTCCCACCGGCCACAACACGCCCTGAGCAGCACGACACGAGCCGAGCGGCGGGCGCAGCCGGACGGAAAACGGGCCGACACCGCTCCGTGCCGCCGGCGGGCCCGGCAGCGGGCGGACGGACCCAGCCCGGCCCGGGTCAGACGAGCCCAACCCGGCCCGGGTCAGAGGAGTCCGACCCGGCCCGGGTCAGACGACGCTCGCATCGCCACGTCGCGCCGTCCGCAGGGATGCCAGTTGCGAAAAAGGCCAAGTAGGTACCGGCGGCGCCGCGGTGGCTATGCGCCGCTCCCGTGAAAGGTGGCCGCCCGGTTTCGTCAGGGCCGCGCCGCGCCGCGCTGACCGCCAGCGCTCGCCGGCGGCGGTGGCAGGACCTTGGGGCGGGCAGCGCCGGCACGTGTCGCAACTGGGCGGCCCCGGCGCCGGCCCGGTCACCGATGACTGATCGACCGGCCGGCAGAGCCATCGACGGGTCAGCTCTCCGCGGCTGATCCCTCAGATCAGCTGACAGCAGCTGGTGATTGCTCAGAGGGTCAGCAGTGGGCGTCTGATCCCTTAGAATGGCCGGCATATATATGCCAATGACTTATTACAGTCTCTCAAGAGGTCAACGCCTCAACCACAAGACAACGAAGAGCGATCGGTAAACTAAAAGTCATCAGCAGAATAGCAGCTATGGAAAGAACAGTAGCTAAAATAAGGTTCATCCGCATCCACGGGTCACAACATAAAGCACGGAATAAATGACTGGTGTCGGGCGACCACCGACTGGTCCTCAGGTGTCATATCGGCTAGTTCAGCCAACGACGGTCAGCTGTCAGAAGGTGTTGGCGACTGAGGATGTGTTCAGTTGCGAACAGGTCCGTAGCTACTGGGGAAAAACCTCAATGCTTAGTAGAACTACAGTAGAGCGCGTTTGATAGATCACGGCGAGTGGAGACTGCAATGACTCACATGTCAGTATCCTGACCGGGAGGCGGGAACTGCATCGCCACACACTTAGACCGCGGACCTCCACGCAACCGAACGGTACTGAGAAGCGGCATACAGTGGTGAATGTGACCAATTCGTGGGTTAACTTGGTGACTAATGGCTTGTTGATACGTCGTGAACATAAAATTTTGGTGCCCAAAAATCAATAATGCTGTCTTCAATGGTCTTAATCTATAAACGTCTCATGGGTGCAAATGCGGATAGATCTATCCAATAGAGATAGAGTGTGCGTCACGTAAGGTTTTTAGTCAATATCTACCGCGTCAGTGTCCTATTTGACGGCTGTTTCAATACCCTATTAATACTGGCGACTCTGTGACCCGTCCAGAGCTAGGCGTGGCCATTTGACTAACCGATTCTCCCTTTCCCAGCGCTGCTGGCTGTAGGTATGCCGCGCTCAGGAGCCGGCGGTGGTGTGTATCTGACCGATTCTCCCTTTCCCAGCGCTGCTGGCCGTGTGCCGCGCTCAGGAGCCGGCAGCAGCGCCGAGCGAGAAGGCACCCGCCGCCGGGGAGGGAGGCAAGGCCGGCCGCGACCCGCGCTTCACCGGCGACCCGCAGATCGACTGGGAGTTCGACCCGAACCTGCCGCGCGAGCTGCAGGGGTTCAACATGACCGGCTACCCCTTCTTCAGCCGCGTGCCGCCCAAGATGAAGTTCAGCTGCACCGACCGCATCGACGGCTTCTACGCCAACACTGAATACAAGTGCCAGGTGAGGGCCCGGACGGGGCGCATGCGGACTCAGGGACCTAACTGCTACAAAGATGTGAAGATATGACCTAACTATGGAAGTCCAGGACCCGGGTATTTCATAATCCTATTGAGAGTCGTCAGTCGATAAGAATGGGAAGGAAACGTTGCAAATTAAAGGGAAACCCCTTGGGAAACCCCACACTGCTGACCAGAAGGACCGGTTACCTGTTCCGCAACGAGAGTAAGACAATCGCTTAAGCGTCTTGCACTAAAAAAGATAATATCTGCCACCTATATCTAGTTATCCTAACTTAAAGTAGACTGGAAGACTGGAAAGTTACTTTGAAGACTGGAAACACCAAAATGAGACACTAATGTGTAGGCATAAATAACGCAGGTAACAATAAAAGACAACAAATAAATATTAAGGTAATTTGTTAAGTTCCTTGTCTCTTGGCCGTAAAAAAATGCGAATTATTCCCTGCTGAGCAGAATCACGCCTCAGCCTGTCACCATAAAATACACCCCGCGTCATTCATTCCATTTAAATAGATGCCTTCTCTGGTCACGTTACACAGTGACCTATTCAACACCAATATTCCTTTGGGTACTTATAGCTCAGCACCGCTGGCAGGCGGAGAAACTGGGGTATCTGGCGGCCGGCCGGCCGGGCGGCGGCCTGTGTGACCAGCGCACCTCCGCTGTCGGAGAAACCCGTCGCGCCGTGCACCCCGTCACGCCCCGTGCACATGCGGGACGACAGACGTCACCGTGCACTAGAGTCGGCAGTTTTAGCAGTCTATGAAACACAGACATTTTCCGAAACATTGACAGTAGGGAAGACCGTTCAAGGGAAACCTGACCATCAGGTCTGTCGACTCTAAAGACCAGCAATAACGAAATCGAGAAAGCGTGCAGAGTAGCTTTCGACCGTGAACGGCGAGCATTGATTGGGCGAGTTTCCACTGGACACGTGTTTCAACAATCGTAAGATAGCACACAAGCTAGACATTATGTATGTTCTTAAAGGAAATGTAGGCATGCGACCTCCCCGCTCATTTGGCTCAGCATTGTATAACCTGGGTTTGCATTGTTCTGATACCCGCCTCAGTGGACGACTGAGGGTTCCAGTCTGGCCTGCAGTTATCAACTAGGTATGGGAGCAGCTTGGCAAATGAAACTACATAAAACCCCGTCTGCGCTGTTGCAGGTATACCACCACTGTTTGTACGGCATCAGGCAGGACTTCCTCTGCGGCAACTACACCGCCTTCGACATGCGCACCTTCATCTGCCAGTTCGTGAACGTGGTGGACTGCGACAACTCGGAGAAGTACGCCTACAGGTGAGTGTGATCGCAGAGGGCCGGGTGAAGTGAAGATCCCCTGACCGTGCACTCAGAATAGCTCAGAATATTGTCCCAGGAGATCGCAGCGGGTCGTCCCACAGCTGAGCGAGCTGAGAGTTTGAAACGCGACACAGGACGGCGGGAATGGTGGCGAACAATGTTCACGATACTAATCTTCATGCCAGGATACAATTAACAAAAATAAGGAGAACACTGAATATCGGGGACTTCGTTCCGCGAACCACCACCAACATGTACAATGTACTTATGTACATGTTTTACAATGTATGTACCTTTATTACGGAGCGAGCGAAGCGAGCGTAGTCTTTCCTTAGATTAACGGAAATTTCTGAGTATGAGCGGCCGGCCGGCCGGCCGGCCGGCCGTGCGGACGCTTTTGCGAGGCTTATATCTCAGCAACCACTTGACCGATTTACACGCGGTAATTTTTGTAGGGTAGCTTCATTCCTTCTACCAGGTATTGGACTATTCCCGATGCATGTGGGTGACCCCTTATGCACGTGCCACGTGCAAAACGAAGAGGTGTCAGTTTTGTAATTGTTGCAATATCTCGGTAACTACTTGGCCGATTGCGCTGAAAGTTGGCATGTAGGTAGGCACCCACTAGGCACTGCATATCCATGTGCCAGAGTTGGGGTGCTGCTGCACGTGCGCACGTGCAGGGGTCGTTTCCAGATCTCGAGAACGGCTGGACCGATGGCGCTCAAATTTGGTACACGGTTAGGGACCAGTTAGTAGGGTGCCGTGCACAAGTCAGTTGGGACCCATTTTGCACGTGCGCACGTGCAGGGTGCCGCTTTCAGATCTCGAGAACGGCTAGGCCGATTGTGCTCAAATTTGGCACATCGCTAGAGACCGGTTAGTAGAGTGCCGTGCACAAGTCAGTTGGAGGTACCCCCTCGAAATTTCGCACGTGCAAGGCCCACCCTCTCGCTCGCTCCGTTAGTCGCCCCAAAAGGCGTTATACTGGTGTATATGTTTAGGAACATAGCTGTTGACGACTAGGTTATATAAGTTAGGTTACATACATATGTTATATAAGCAGGTAAGGTTATATAAGTTTGTGAAAAATATTTACATATATCATTAGAGGGCTTTCTTTATCAAATACAGTCCACCGATTACATTCCCAAGTTACTGCTGTGTTCCCGGCCAGCCCCCACTGTCTGCATTGCGGCGGAACCCGCGAGCTCCGCCTAGCTCACTGCATACCTGAGCACGACCCGACTGCAGCCGACACGCGGCACGGAAAACCCGGCCGAGCTCCCCCTACCGCTGCACAGAGGCGGAGCGACGGACTGTCCGCGGACGGATGGTGGGGAGGGGTAGCCCTCCCCCGACCGACCCCGGCGGCTGCAGGGTGGCTAGAATGCCGACGGAACGGTATACCAGCGACGAGGGCCGGTTCCCCGAGCTCTGTACTTACTTATACAGTGACTGGTCAGCGGAATGGCATGCCGCGGAAAGGATAACTATATACAGAGAGAGGGGCCAAGGGTATTATGACAAACGCAACACAAAGCAATAATAAAAGCACAAGTGCAGCGAGCAAAGTGAACTGTAAGGTTCAACGGGCTTATCCCTTTCGAATGTTAGGATTTGCACATCGGCGCAAGGCGAAGCGATGTGCAAAGCAAATCTGCAGGGTGCGCAACTCAAACCCCTTTCACCTATAGGGTGGTGTGGATTGTTGCTTCATGGGAATTAACCTCATGGATAATAATAAGTCCCTGGCTGTTAGCAGGTAAGGCCCCTTAGCAATAGCATCCTTCCCCGCAATGGTCCTCATGACTCGGGTGCCGCATACCAGCACGCTGAATAAGGAATAGAGCATGGAATGGCAGAGGGAGCTCCGGAGCCGCCGCGCTGGAAAGAAATCGTCCGGTTGGCTTATTCTTATCGGATGATGACTGATTTCATGACATAGTGTTTTAGAGTACCCGAACTTCAATGACCATCGATGCCTATGCCATGCTCGCAAACTGGCCGCTTTAACTTCTAGTATGCTGCAGGAACAAGCCTCCATGTACTGACTTGCCCGATCCGCTGGACTGACTTGCCCGTGTCTCTGTGTACCAGGAACGAGCCGCTGTACAAGGCCACCACCACGGAGAAGCCGCGTCGTAAGCGTCCGTTCGAACAGCGCCCGGCGGCCTACGAGGACTACGACTACAACTACAACTACGACGACTACTACTACGACTACGCCGACTACCCGGAGGCAGCCCAAGCCCCCACCACCACCACAACGACCACAACGACCACCACCACCACGACGCGTCGCTCGCTGCAGCGGCGGCCCGGCAGCCGACGGCGCCCCGGCGGCGGTCGGCGGCGCGCCGGCGGACGCCGCAGGCCCAACGGAGGCGGCCGCCGCCGGCCGCTGAGGCCCCGTCCGCCGCCGCCCGAGTATGACTACGACTATCCGGCGGAGCAGACGGCCGCGGCGGCGGTGCCCGTCGAGCAGCAGAAGGCCGCCGCGCCCCAGCGGGCCGCCGCCGCCGCCGCCCCGGTCCAGGACTACGTGTACGACTACCCTGAGGAAGAGGTGCCGCCGCCACAGCCGGCCGTCCCCGTCGCCCAGGCCGCGCCACAACAGGTGAGACCAAAAGAGGACGCAACGAAAGGCAGAAAAGATTCTACGACAATGCAGCTAGTTGCTCGCAAATAGTTACATGCTTACAGGTGTATGCCCGAAAAACACACAGCTAAAGTATCACGACCACGCATATCGATGCATGCACACTGAACACTGCAAGCGCAGTAACACCCGACACCACTATAAAAAAACACAATACACTTCAGTCATGCCCGTCACGCTTCGGCGACACCGGACACCCAGACAGACGTCACATTGTTTCTGTCCCAAGAAATCGCAGCATGCGAGCCGCCCTGCCATCGGCTGACAGTCGAAACCCACCTTCACGCCAGAACGAGACCCGAGGGTCAAACCAGTTTATCAAGACCGCACTGACCACCTATTGGAATACTTTCACTTGCCATATTACACAATTAAACTTGAACCACAGTGCTTGAAAACTATCAATTTTCCGTAATGATAGTGCAATGTGGATGTAGATGTTCCAAGCACCGAGGGAAAACGGGGTGAGCTGAACAATTATACATGGGTACGCATGTGTTAATTTACCGAGAATAATGGCCAGGGAGATATGCATGCATGTCCTATTGACAAAAACGTGCGATATCGTTCCAACAAAGTAATCCGTCAGGTCAATGAACAGCCCGCTCAGTAGTCGAGCAATGCGCCGTGTCTGACCAGCCCCGTTTGTCGACAGGCTCGTCCGGCACTGCGCGGCCGCCCCGGTAGCCGCCGGCGGCCGTCCCGAGTGCGGCCCCAGGCGCAGGAGCCGGCGCCGGCGCCGGCAGTCGAGGAGCCCTCTCCCGCTCAGCAGCAGCCCGCCCTGCCCGAGGAGCCGCCCGTCGACAACGAGGTGCTTGACACGTTCTCGCAGCGCGCGCCGAGCCGCCGGCGGCCGAGCGGACCGCGCCGGCAGGCGGCCGCCGGGTTCGGGCGCCGCCCGGGTCGCCGTCCGGCGCCGCGGCCCACCCAGCCGCCGCCGCCGCCGCCGCCGGCCGACGAGGCCGCCTACTACGACTACGACTACCCCATAGACCTGGAGCCCGTCTCGGCCGACTTCGCCGCCGAGGAGGCGACCGAGCCGCCGCCGCCGCCGCCGCCGGCCCGCGGCAGTCTGCGGCGGCGCGGCGGCGGTCGGAGGAGGCGGCCCGCCCAGTGAGCCGGCCGGCCAGCGGACAGACTGTGTGTTAGTGCCGGGCCGACAGGGGTGGCGGGGGACCGGGCGCCGCCCGCGTCCTCCCGAGACCCGCCGGCAGGACGACCGTCGGTGGCCGCCCGCACAGACGGGCGCGCGACACGCCGGCCTAGTCAATTTCCCTCATGCAGGTGATCGGGGATGAGGCGAGATTGTGAGTAGGGCAGCGCTCATGTACAACCACTCGCGGTGCTATCTTACCGCCGCACGCGAGCGAACGACCAGGGCCTGCCCGCGGTCGGCTTTCACCGTTGGCTGTTACTTGATCCGACGCGTCATCGTACAATGTTTATATGGAAATCGCTGACGGACGGTGGGCGAAGCCGCCGATTGTACGGTGGCGCCGACCCAATGACGCTATGAATACAGCGTACTTACCAGCCGGTCTCTGCTCCGAGGTGGATGAGTCACCCGCCGGTCCTTGGAAACGAGCTGGGAAGACCAGCCCGGGAAATGATCCCCTCCGTGAACATCCCGGCGATAAAACCCATGAATATCCCGCTTACCTTCAGGCTTTGCAGATGTTGCAGAACTATCCGTAGTTGGATCCCATCCCAGCCTAGTATTCCGTCTCAACCAAAGGTGTCTGCCCAGGAGTAAAGCCAACTGCTTTGCCTTACGACAGGTCAACCGATCCGAAATCAGCATCGAGACCGGTCCAAAACAAGGCCAGATAAGAGCTCCCCTGACCACAATGCAGGCAGATTTCCATTGAACATGGCTCACCACCCTCCCACCTGGACATCTGGCCCAGCATACACATGGGGTCTAGGATGCAGCACAGTATTATTCCACAACTCGACCGGCGCTGGCGCGCAGACAGCATACAAAAATCGACCGGAGCCGGCCTGGCTGGCCGCCCCGCACCCCTGACGAGCGCCGCGGCAGCTTCGGCCCACGGACGCGCACCAGCACAAAACAACTCGCCGGCCCGTCACTGCCGACCGCCCACCATCGTAACGGCTACACGAGCAATGACAAAATAAACAACACGCTTTACACAATCACCTGATTGAAAAGGGATAAAATATTGGGTACACACTGCCTACCAGAAAATCGAGCGACGTTTGGCAGGCAGGAAGAGAGATGGTTGCTTCCTAAAAGCTCTGGTAAGGCACCGCTGCGGGACAGGTGCCTCTCTCCTGAACACAGGACCGGACGGCTGGCCGACACACCCGTCCACAATTAGTAAAAGCGGACTGTCTAACACAGGAAGCGCCGTCCTCTTCGAGTTCCGCCCGGCAGCGGCGGTGGCGGCGCGGCCACTCGGGCCGCCCGCCTCTCCGGGCCGTCCGGCGGTCGGCAGGATACCGCCGCCCAGCGGACTGTGTGCGACTGCAGCGACACTCTGCGGCGGCGCCGAGAACCAACGTCTCTCCCCCACGAAACGGCAATGTCACTAGCGCGCGTCACCCTCCTGTAGATCCTGCACAAAATCTACGTGTGTGAACGGAAAGTGGCCGTGTTTACCGTTCAGCTCCCCCTCCCATTGTCCATTGATGTTCATCTTTGTCACTTTGATAATGTCACCGACCTCGAGTTTGAGCGCCGTCTTGTCGTAGGCGTTTGGAACGCGCGCCTTGTTGACCCGAGCGTCGGCTGGAAGCTGGCGCTGAAACGCAACACGCAGGCACGTCAGGACATGTATACAGCATCTATCGTCTACATGAATGATGTAAAATTGCCCGTGACCCATGACCTCAACACCCTAACTGATGAACGAAAACATGAGCAACATAGCTCGGAACAACATAACACAGACGCTGAGTCAAAATGCCTAGGCCTGACTGCAAATGTACGTGGAGCACATACCGACTCAGTGAATGATCCATGTTCATCCCCAAACAGTCGGCTCGGGCGGCGTGCGCTCGCCTCTCCCGGCCGACTCACCTGTAGGTTGACTTTGGGCTTGGCGGCTGCGTCCTTGGCGGCCGGACTGGCGCCGCTGGGCGCGCCCGGCGCCACCGACGGCGTCTCCTCGTACTGGCCGACCGGAGGGAGCGGGCGCGGGTCAACACCAGGCCACAAACGGGGCGAGGCACGCGAAAAAGGCAAATATCACACAATACATCGGGGTGACAGTGGGACATCATACACATTTGAACTAACGTTTTTCAATGACCTCCACCAGCTGCTTTATCGCCCAAACTGAGTTGAGCGTCTGACACGCTAGGTTTTCCGCTCCTCTCAGTCTCGTAACAGGACAGTCAGCGCTATGCCCCGGGACCGGACTCACCTTCTGTACGTAGGGCACGGGGATGGAGCCGGTGTTTCCGACGCTGTTGCGCGCCGTCCACCACTGCTCCTCGTCCTTGGAGATGATGGTTAGCACCTCACCCCTCTTGAAGGGCAGGTCCTCCGCGTCCTGCGTCACCACAGAGAACAGCACCGTGAGCGAACAACAGGTGTCGGAAATAGATGGTGACGCCAATTGTCGCTATCCGGCTAATACGTCGTCATTGCGTTCAACTTACTAATCACAAGACAAAATACATGCCTCTTCTACATTTTTTTAACCAGGTTCTTCGCAAGTCAACTAGATAAATCGATCACGCCATTCACTCGTCTTACAGTAGAAATTACAGCTACGGCCACTGCAACGCATCACAATCCAAGATTCTTACAGATAAGGTTGGGACACCAGTCACGTGACCCTTTTTCCTGCTTTTCCCAACCCTCCTCACGATTTTCATAAGCCTTGATTTATCCTTTTAAACACTTTGCGCAGAGGCGTTTGTAGTTAATTTACTTACAAAAACTAATTCAATGATATTTGAAATAAACAAACACATATTTACTCGCAATCTCAAACAAAAGTTGAATTTATTCGCGTCTCATTAGATTAATCAGCTGGCAATCATCATCCATCGTCCTCGATGTAGTCGAACTTGGCGCACTCGGATAGTGTTCGAAGTTTGTGACGCTTACTAGTTGCTATGGCGACCGGGCAGTACCTACGCTTTTCATTCGCCAACAAGTGATCGCGGTCACGCTTTTGAACACAGTCTTTATGCGTCAGTTTGTGTGACGCGTCATCTGAAACATATTTCGTGAGGCTCCAAAACCATTCAATTCATCTCCTTCAAAAGAAGTGTTTTGTATTATTTTCGATATCTTTTTTCGATATCTTTTTTTCGATATTGCTAGCTCCATTCATCATATCTTGCGTGAGGATAGTCATCACTCGGGGACCAGTCGTTGAAAGCAAGAAACAACGATGAGGAGAAGGTCTTGTAAAAAGTCGCAGCGATTGCATTGAGCATTAAATGACGAAAATATTTCTACCTCCCCACCGCCTCAGGCGATCACGTGCTGTCACCCACCTGTCACAATCGACGATCCCGCAGCAGCACTCGGCTGCAGCAGCGAACCCGGTCCCAGCATCAGACTCACCCGTCCCTCGAAGTCGTACTTGGCGGTGACCTTCTCTATCCGTTTGGGCGCCGGCCGCACCAGTGGCGTGGTGTCCAGGTAGTGACACTTGTAAAAGGCCAGCAGACTGGCCAGGTCGGGGAACTTTTGGTCGCCGATCCGGTACTGGACCTGTCCGAGGACGCGCTGAATCAACAGGCGGCCGTGGATTGACCGGGACCCAGCAGTAAGCACTCGAAACAGCCGTAGACGCTGAGCAGCGCACACGAACACAACGTCGCACACCCGCAAACAACAGCTAGAACGTTGGAAGGCAACAAGAATATACGAGTATGTAATCTAAATACGTCACATTTACAAAAGAGCTTGTGCCACACCAGCTGTTACCAGAAGACGTTTGTAAAAGCTAATACTGAAAGCAGCGAGTGCGACAAGTTTGATCGATTGTCCCACCCACCTGGTCGTCCTTCTGCATCTTGTTGATGATGTAGTGTGAGACCTTGTTATCCTCGCGGACACAGAGCACATAGTCTCCCTGGATGCTGGTGGAGTCTCTGACGAGGAACACGCCCCCCTCTCGCTCGGACATGAGCAGGTCGGTGGCGTCCTGGCGCGACATCTGACCAAAGTACCAGCTGGAACACACAGCCAGGCCACTCAGTCAGTCCAGCGGCGGTGTGGCACCTCAGACCTATTTGACAAACTAGAAGGGAGAAGGCTAATACAAGCCTCATTGAAAAAATTTGTAGGTAGTACACGGCTGTTGTCCCCGACCGATGCCGAGTCGCCGGCCGGCCCGCGTGGCTGCCGAGCCGGCCGCTGCGGCCCCGTGGCGCCCGAGGTGTGTCTGACCTGTTGAGGTCGTGCGCGGGGAGCGCGTTGATTGGTCGCTGGTGTCCCGCGGCGCGGCGGCGGGACACCAGCGAGGTGATCTCGGGAGGGTGAGCCGTAGGCTGGTTTAGTGGGTTATGCTGTCTGGTGGGGGGGGGGGGGGCGGAGTGGAGCTGAACTCTGGAGTTAATTGTGAGAAGTGCCAATAAATCTCCATTGGTTAAACTCAGCGGCTGTGACGAGAACTGAGAGACGGAGGTGACGGAAGTGCGTGGAGTGACAACAGGCCACAAACGCGTGTGACTTTGACCCGTCCTACTTCCGCGGACCTCGGCATTTCTCAGCTCATTGGGGTGTGTGAGGAGGGGGGGGGGGCGGCCATCGGTGTTTCGCCATCGAAACACAGAGGGCATAACTCGTTTCCCGTGTTTCGCCATCGACACCGGGGAAAGGAGCATCTTTCCATACAAGGGGTGCGGCCAGTCGGCTTCGGCCAACCTCGCTATCGAGGCGTCGAAGTATCGGTATATCTGTCTGCTCACGGCGCCCTCGCCACTGAGGAGCCTTGATCAGGCAGCAACTGTCGCCTTCCTCACCGATCCTGTCCCAATTTTGACCTCCTAATCCCCTTCAGCCAATGACAAAACCAAAGTGTCGCCAGTGCATGTGAGTTGTGAGCCAGAGGACATTGTGGCGACATTGGCAGTGATGAGTTACATTCATTTAGTGTTTGTCTTTGATGAACTCTCAGCAGTGCCAAAATCACAGCAGCTAATTCATGCCTTAGGTAAATTACTTGTAGAAGTGATTGAAACTTGAGAGGAAAAAGCAGGATCAGTAGAGGGGTCAGACTGGCATACGCCAGGAGCTCACCTTGATCTGTCATGTGGATCCAGTGTTGCAGCCATGGTTTATACACTCACACTTCCAGATAAGGTACCTGTAACACAAACCCATGGGCTATAAAATTAAGAGACAGTGAGCAATGCTGTGACCACATCTGGTCCCAGTCAATCACAGCTATACACCACTAGCAACAAAGGTTAATATATCATGTTCCCAATTTCTGTCTATCATGACATATTTTGCTTTCCTTGATAGAAACAAGCAAACCTTGTCAAATGTCACAATCTGAGTTAACCTGTTGAACATCCACTCATTTTCAACCAGTTTGCTTCCCTGGTAAGCATCACTAGACAGCATTTTGCATCTCAATGGGTAAGTTCAGATATTCAGTATATTTAATATAACAACGATGAGCAGGAATTGCTTGCATTATCAATTAATAATTAATTTCACTGTTACTGATAAGCAGGTTTACAGTTTTACACTATTTTGGTGGAAAGGTCAAGCGATGGAGTCTGAAACTGGCTCTGTGCACCTGTTTTCCCATCCGCCCAAATTTTACCTTAGTATGCACACAATATTTAAATATCTGCACAATACTTAAACAATATTTGGAAATTCTTCTACTAATAAAATGGAATATCTAAGAAAAGTTAATCTTAGATGACTGACTTAGACTAGCCTTAGATGGTTTAGTTCTTGGTTTAGTTATCTATTTTTTTCAACATTTATTGACAAACCATACAAATATGACACAAGTATATAATAATCGAGGGCTCTCAAGCCCAACAAGGACAGTCTCTGTCATGGCTTCTGACACGAAACAGCCGATTTCCCGTCTATGCTAAGGTTTAGTTATATATTGTATGTTCAAAATGGGTAAATGTGAGCAATGTGATGTTCAAAATGTGAGCATTAACATTGAACAATTATTTAGCAAAGCCATTGCATTACCACAACAGCATAAAAAGGGAATCCATCTATCAATCAAAATCCAAAGCTCAGGCATCAGTTATTTGGTTTCCTATGAAAAATACAAGCTTATAAGTTATTTAAATAGGTACTCAATATTGCTAAAATGAAATGAGCCTAGAGAGCAGTGAGCATGATAAAATAGCTTCCACCAAAGGATGTGTATCTATATTGACTTATGGTTTATTTACTAACTTTGTTACACTGTTGGTAACCTCTTTATGGTTTGAAGAAACTCTAGACCACACATGACCCCATCAAGTCAGGGTAGCAAAACTTACTACCACCTACTTTTAGTTACATCCAGTACAATTACCCATGCAAAAATTACAAATTTAATATATCTTATCCAGAGCAAATGGATTCAAAGCACATCAATATATTTGAAGTGATGCATTTACAAAAAAAGATACCTCAACCTAAGAAATATCTATTATCACTTATTATTATTGAAAGCTTTTGTACCTTATCAAATGTATCTAGATGTAAGTGATATGAGACACGCTTATAAAAATAGCAGGGATAAGTAGGTAGGTACATACCTACCAAGCTAACATAATAATCATAATTTTGCCTATGCCATAGGTACCTAATCATTTACATATATCAATATCAAACGAACAAAAAAATGATTTTGATTATTTTGCAGAGGACAAAATTGTTTGAAGGACAAGGTTTTACAGGCATAAATAATTATGTAAAACAGTGAAATCCAGCACTGCCGAAGCAATTAACATGCAATATAAGCATAATAGCACCCAATATAAGCAATATAAGCAGAATAAACTCATCAATTAATAGATAAAAATGAATGAAAAATATTATATCAAATGAGCATGTCAGATATCAACAATCAAACACTAGATAACTAAAGCCAGATATTTCGAGTTGATTAATGAATGAGATTTACAATTACATCATACTCCTTGTCCTGGCGCTCATATGCAACTTTATGTTGTTGCTTTTACCTGAAAGCAGAGCAAGTGAAAAGATATATTCACTTGGATCCTTGCTTATGACAAAAAGATAGAAAAACGTATCGCTGAAAAATATTTAAATACACTACACTATACGCCTTCTCCAAAGAGAAATATGTGCAAAGCGAATTGATATCCATTTTTGACGTTTATCCCGCAGCTTAGACAATAACAAAATATGGTAGCGAATGGAAAGTATTACTCTACATATTTGCCTTCAGAAAATTCCTAATTTTTCCTTTAAAGTCAACCGCTTTTTAAGGTAATGCAATTGCATTTCAAATCAATAATTAATTCCATGTTCCTCTAAAAAAATTCTGATATGAGCTATTGTTAATAGCCAAAAAATGCTCAATTTTGAAATAATTAGCTTCGGTTTGCCTTCAAAACGATGAAGGAATTGTTGTGCTGTTTCTGCAAGCTGATAGTCATGGAGAATCCGCCGGTGAATCAAGATGAGCTTGGTATGTTTTTTGACCTTATATTGCAATATTTACTAAATTTATGCATTCTGGCACAACGACATGATAGCATTCATTAGTTGTACCTCACCAGATCATATATTGGCTTGTTACTAATGTCTTTTGATGCTGGAGACGTTATTGACGCGGCCTAAAACTGAAAACCATCAATCTCCATAACATTTTGTGGAATATTCTATTTTATTCTAATCCACGATTATTTCAATTGCACGGTGTTGATTTGATATGGATTATTTTCATGAAATCCAGTTGCAAAATACTTTGTTGGTATTTTAAGTCTGGCTAAGTAGGCTTGGACACTTATTTTGCCCCTTTGCAAATCAAATTTAGCCTTGTATTTATCTTAAGTATTTTAGACAAGCTGCATTTTTCTATTGATTGATTCCAACAATGTGTTGATTAATTCAAACTACCAGAAAGCAACCCATTGCTTCCAAAGCCTAACATACACCAGTCACGAATAAATTGCGCCCAAATCAAAATTTAGAGTTCTGCTTATTGAATCGAGATTCATGGTTGTTTAAGCTCTAAAAGCAAATGTCTAGGTCTATGCCGTAGCCCACTCTTTTTTTAAACATTTTAAAACTCATGTTCTTCTGCATCAGTTTGATTTCACTTGGGTCAATCTAGTCTGTTTATCATAGCTTGATTAAAATTGATTAAGACATTTTTGCCTTCTTTTTTTTCAATCAAAGTGTATTTTTATTCTTGCTTTACCATATACAAGCAAGGATAAATAACAGATAGATTGATTTATTTTGTTTCAGCTCTGGTGGAGCGGGTGTTTCTGCGCATTGGGTCAGCAGAAACTGATGAACAATTGCAAAATGCCCTTACCAAATTTTTGCCACCAGTTCTGCTCAAGTTATCCAGCACACAGGAAGGAGTTAGGAAAAAGGTTTGATTTTTAATATGATAATATTGTGCTAAAAAGTTCAAAGGGTACCTACAGTACTTGCTTGAATTGTGTCCTGTTTAACAGACAAAATATTAGTTTAGGATTGATAACAATTAAGATTTGATGTTTTGCAGGATCATATCTGAATGAACCACTACTGTCTCTTAGCCACTTTTTTAATTGTGATTGCCATAGTGTGTAAACAAGTTTAAATACTAAGAAATGATCTATGTTATTGATGGTGACTCAAATGTGACTCACATATGTTACATGTGTGTACATATGCTAGCTGTGACCAGAGGGTTCTTGAACAGGTGATGGAGCTACTGGTTCATGTCAACAAGCGCCTCAAGAGCCGTCCAGTCGTCCAGCTTCCAGTGGAAACTCTGCTGCTGCAGTATCAGGATCCAGCTGCCTCTAGCTTCCTAAAGGTGATTTCTGCTGGCGCTGGTAACTGATCACTCTGTATCAGGGTGAGGAGATGCTTGCCAAAAATCGCTTGGTACCTAGGAGGCTTGGGCAAAGAAGCCTTAATTTTGATGCTGGAAAAGATTCATTGGAAAAGCCAATCCAGCTAGAAATTACTAGATTCATTCAGTAATTCCTAATTACTCCATGAATCTAATTTCATTCATTAACCCGCGCCCTGCTGGGGGTCCTGGATTTCCACGCCCTGCTGGGGGGGGGGGGTGTTTGAACACCCCCCCTTCTAACTCGGCTCCTGGGCCACGTAGCGATACGCGGAAGGCGGCGTTCGAAAGAGCGTCAAAAATAATGACGAAATCACTTCGGTCAATTTTTTGGTCAGGTCAAAGGTCAGGTCACCAGAGGTCATTGAAGGCAAAATTTCGCCGATTTCCAGGTCGAATGTCGAAAATTTCCAAGAAGCCAACGCATAACTCGGGAACCAATAGAGCTACAGCGCCGCGGAAAAGCGCATTCGATAGCCCTATTAACGCCCTTTCTGAGTAATTCTCTCAGATTTGACCTAACGTCAACGGTTTTGCCTGCAGGGGGCAAAAACTGCAAAAATAGCCGATTTTTTCGGAAACAGTTTTTCTGCAATAACTTTTGACCCAAGCCTTGTACGAGCTTACTTTTACCGGCATCGTGTTCCTCTCGTCAAGACGCATCGAATGAACTATAACTTGACCTTGAAAGGTCAACTTGAAAATTTGACCTCAGGTCAAGGTCATGACCTGACCGGAAAGGGTCATGTTGCATATCAGTCGATCCGTATCGTCTAGCTGAACACATCTAAGGCGTTTTCATCGCTCTAGCATGCCTCTATCAAAAGTTATTTGTGAAAAACTGTTAGATACCATTCGTGACCTAAGATGACCTCAGGGCATAAACAGGGGTCACGGACACCATTTTCATGTTCAGTGTGTCTAAACCACTTGTAATTCAGTGTTTGGGAGTGTGTATAATGTCTTTCGTCCAAAAGAGGCGCATTTCAATTTTCTCCCATTGACTTATAATGGGGAGGTCGCAAAATTGACCTGACCTTAGGTCATCGATATCAAAATTCTGAGATATACATTTTGTACATGCTATTGCTCTTAGCAATCGCTGAAAGTTTCAAAGCGATCGGTCACTCGGTGTAGCTATGACAGACATTGAAACTTTTTATGAGGTGAGGTCACTTCAAGTGACCTGGTGACCTGACCTTGAATGACCTTGGTCTGAAATTTTCACAACATGTGTAGAATTGATGTATGATAAGGTGTACCAAAAACGGCGGCGCTCCGCGCCGCCGTTTTTGAGATATTCGCGAAAAACCACAAGGGGGGGTGTTCAAACACCCCCCCCCAGCAGGGCGCGGGTTAATTTCTTTGAAACCATGGGGCCTTGGGTACCATACCAAATTCTCAGCATCCATGGACCATGAAGATCTCAGTAAAACAATGTTGCTGCTAGGGTACAGTGGTAACTCAATCAAAGGCCCCACAATGTAGGGACACATAGGCTTAACTATCAGTGACTGGTGAGTCCACACAATATTATTTATATTATTTATGCAAACTGTTTTCTTACAAGGTGAAGGACCTTTTCCCAACTTCATGGAAAAGGCTTGACTGGGCAAGTTCCCTACCAAAGCCCTTGATTCCCTTCCTCCTGGTTGGGTCTTCTTTTCTCTGGTTATGTCAAAATTCAAATAGGTAATAGGGTGAAGTCGTATAAGAGTACGCACTTAGTGGATTTCTTGCTCTCATTTGTTTAATATTTGAAAGAAAGAAATCGCAAATAGGGAATTTTAAACTTCACTGAATTAGCCATCAACCCATGGGGCAACGATCCTTCAGCGTAAATGGAAGTGGTCTAAAACTGAAATTTTCTGAACCGCTGCAGTTGCGTACTCTTACCATATGGGGTGTGTAAGAGTACGCACGCCAGGCGGGTGGAGTACGCAAGCATATGAACACACACACCTATGCAGCTTGTACTGCCCAAATGCTTAACTTCAAACTGAGAAGGCATTTAAGTTCATTCTAGTATCCAAAAAGAAAAACATAAAATAAATCTTTCAAGTCTATAAATCAGGAAATAATCATGTCGTGTGTTTCTAAAAAACAATGCACAATCAAAAGGGAGAATAACTCGTATTTGGAAGAATTTCGGGTACGCATCTGCATCACAGTGCTCCATTGATGATATACCTACAAAACAAACGTCATTGAGTGATAGATTAATAATTTTATATTTCTGTATATTCGATTTAATGTATAATTCTGCGTACTCTTACCCTCCTGAACAGTGCGTCCTCTTACCGTACATGCAATTCGCTCACAAAACAACCCCGAAACGTTGTGCAAAACTTCGCAAACAGAATATTGCACTGCACAGTATTTCCCAAGATAACCTCAGAAGTTTCTCACAACAATCACGGAAATGTACCTTATCTCAACTGCCAAGTATCAAAATTATTGTACCATACCAAAATAATATCATAACGCTCGAACCCGCGTTGCTAAGCAACCGAAACAGCTGATGCGTACTCTTATCGCCCGCGTACTCTTACCCGCCCTTACCCTATTGTTTGCTTTGCAATTTGCATGTCAAACATAGCTCATCTGTACTCAATGTAATGTTTGACTTAGGTATTGGTGTGTTTCAGAACTTTACTGTGATTTATGTGAAAATGGGTTTCCCAAGACTGGAGCCAGCCAAGCAGGCTGAGCTGGCAATACCTCTACTGCTGAGCATAGAGGACAGTCCTACTTCACATCAGGACTCGTAAGTCCAATTACCAGTGCCTAGTTACCTACCTCTGCTAGTCCAGGAGTAACACTAGAGGGATGGGATGATTTTTCTCACACCCCACTAACCAAACTTCTTTGGCTATACAGTGACAAGTGGTTCATGGTGTTCCTAGAAATTTGAGTCATTTTTAGGCCTGACAAAAAGTTGTCAAAGGTCATCAAGCATTTGTTTTATATAAGAAATTTACTCTTTGCCTGATAAAGTCATAGACCCATATCACAGAAAAGTTGTCAATAGCTCATCAAAATCTCAATCTGTAAGTTATTATCTTGAGTCACCTAAGGTCAACAGGTTTTCCCCAGGATGGCAGAAACAACCATGTACATTGTACCTTGCACCTACACACACACATGTATCTACACACTGTCCCAGTCTATTCTTATCATCTCACCGACTTGTTTATTATGTCGCTCTGACGTCGTGCCCGCCCGCGCGCCTGTCCTGGCCACTGGCTGCAGGCTGCTGTCGCTGGTGACCAGCGTGCTGGCCACCGCCGATCTGAGCAACGAGCGGGGCCGCGCCGACATCGACAAGCTGAAGGAGAAGCCGGCCGTGCTCACCCTCCTGCTGGACTTTATCCTGGACCTGCTGCTGCTGCCTTACGGGTGAATACCGTCAGCTGTGCGCGCCAGCCGCCGCTCCGTGGCGCCCTCCGGTAGCGGAGCTCAGTAGGTCGCAGGACGATAAATTGTGTATTTCAAGACCTTTCTTTGATACGGGTGCTGGTCAGTACAACAATTTCATAGACTCTTGTCGGAAGAGTGTTAATCAGTACTGAGTCGAATATGTCCCTCCCGTCTCTGACCCCTGCCTGTTGGCAGCGTGACGTGGCCGCCGCCGGCCGCTCAGGGCGGGGAGGCGGCGCCGCCGGTGCCGCCGCCCGGTCTGTCGGAGAAGGCGGTGCGCCGCGCGCTGGGCGACCAGCCGCCGCCGCCCGAGCGGCTGGAGCGGCTCAAGGCGGGCCTGGTGCGCTTCCTGTCGCTGGGCCAGCTGCCGGCCGGCCGGGTGGCGCCCCATCTGCTGGTGGCCATGGCCGACACGCGGTTCACAGTGGCCAATCTGGCCGACATGGAGCTCAGGCGGCTCTGGTGAGTGAGTTTGGAGGAGAGAGTAGTGACGATTTGAGTGAAGCAGTGTGTCGGTGTAGGAGATCGCATATGAGGACAGAGGAACTGATCTTTTTAGTCGATTTAAGACTGTGTAAGTCATTTGTGGACCCTGAAACGTTCAATTTAGGAAGCATACACGTTTGATGCTGAAATACAAAAGATGATAATGCCTTGATGATACCGGAATTATTCGTCCTGTCTTCTTTCGAGTGTTGTTTTATCTGTACGTCATACGTGTTCTGCCGCAGTAACCTGGACTGGGAGGATCCGACGCTCATCAGTCAGCTCTGCTCCCTCTATCTGGGCACGCTGGTCAACAAGAACGCGCCGCCGTCGGGCCCGGCTGCGCCGCCTCAGGAGCAGCGCCGCCAGCCGGTCGGCACGCGCATCCGACTGAAGCTGCTGCCCTACCTGTGCCGCTCAAAGACGGCGGCCACCATGTTCCCGCAGTCGGTCCAGGTAGGTATTCACGGCGGACGGGTGGGATGGGCTGAAGCGGGTGATATTTCGTTCTTGATCAGACTGAGTAGATGGATGCCAACTGTCGTAACTCGTAGTAGCCCCTTTCTGCATTCGATTTGCTTCGGTAGGTCCACATTCACCTCCATAGGGTAGTCGTAGTGAATCGTTGTTATTCCATTGCTTTAAGTGAGGTGTGCGAATGTCGTTTCAGTGAATCATTACTCACGTGCCCGTTTCTTTTCAGGTGATGTTTGACAGCTTCTACGGCACAAATACCAATCCCAAGCTGAAACTGCAGGCCCTTCAGTTCATTATACAGATAATCCAACAGTGAGTGTCACCCTTTATGCGTCTCACATGCTCGCAAATGGTTATTTTACTCTAGCTAAACTGCGTCATACATTCAGGAAACAGTAGTCTATTGCACTTTCTCCGAACTCTCGCCCGTTGCTGAACTGGTCTGAGTGGTCCGAACAGGCTGACTGTTCTGTGATATACTCTCTGACGCTGCCCCGTATGCGCCGACAGCTCAACAGAGTCCCGTCTGGCGCCGCTGGGCCCCATGGTGCTGGGCGTGCTCCACAGTGTGCTTGCAGAGGAGAAGACGGACCAGCGGCTGCGCTCCACGGCCTACACGGCCATCGGGCGGCTGGGACAGAAGCTTCCGGCCGTCATCTCGCGCGACCTGAATGTGGTCCGGGTGCTGTTCGACGCGCTGGAGCAGGTGAGACGGCCGGCGCCCGGCTTGAAGGCGATACCCTGTCGTCCGTCCTTTCGGGAGCCGACGTGTAAAGGGAGTAGCATATGCCTCAATTGAGGCATGTAATGTTATGGAGTGCTAGTCACTGGTTCAGTGGGAAAGTTATTTTGAGCATCTCTTAGTGAATCGTCACTCACGTGTCGGCATGTCATGTCTGGGGTAGCGACTGGCTCAGCAGCATCCTGCAGTATGCAGTGATGTGCTGTGCTGCAGCTCCCATCGCAGTTTGTTTGACACGCCCCACCCGTTTCCTGTGACTCTGCAGGAGGAGTCGGAGACGGGCCAGTTTGTGCAGGACACGCTGCAGCTGCTGGGGCCGTCGCTGCGCCGGCTGGACGACGCCCAGCAGACGGTCATGGAGGCGCTGCTGGGCAGCTGCCTGGAGCGGCCCAGCGCGCGCGCCCGCCAGGTGGCCGTCCAGTACGCGGCCGTCGTGTTCCCAGAGAGCCACGCCGTGTCCCGGCTGCAGCTGCTGCTGGCCACCGCCGACAGGTGAGTCCGGCCGGGGGCTAAATAACTGCAAGCCGGTGGTTGGCTGTAGTTTTTTATCTTTATTTAATTTTTACTTGGGTAATGTGACCAGGGCTGCGGAGTCGATGGATTTTCGGCGACTCCGACTCCGACTCCGACTCCGGCTTTCAATAACCAGCTCCGACTCCGACTCCGACTCCGGGCAGAATTGTCGACTCCGACCGACTCCAACTCCCGACTCCGATTCCGCAAACCTAGCAGGGCTGCGGAGTCGACAGATTTTCGGTGACTCCGACTCCGACTCCGGCTCGGGTTTCTAAAATCGACTCCGACTCCGACTCCGACTCCGGTCACAACTGTCGACTCCGACCGACTCCGACTCCGACTCCGACTCCGCAGCCCTGGATGTGACTATATGGACTGATACCAGCTGTGTGGTGAAGCTGTGGTATTGTTCTTAGTTTTCTGTCAACCTTTTGGTTATAGCCAGGAGGAAGTTGCTGCCGAAGCCCTGAAACATCTCAAATTGGACGGGAAGGATGTCCAGGACAGCTCGAAAGCTAGCGACTTCCCGGACTTTGCGCAGATGATCACGTGCATCACGAGGAAGATCAGCGAACGCGAGTCCAAGAAGCAGACGACTACGGTGGGAAACAACGTGCTGCCGTTCCCGCCCACTGCCTTTGCCATGGTGAGTGCAGACTGGGACCGTCATCACTTTTATAGATCGGGCCGGCAAGCGCAAGCATTTTGGACCCGAGTAGCAGTTATGTGTCCATGGTGTATTCGGGCTTCAGTGACAGTCATTGCTTTCAAAAACGTGCTGTTCCTTTTCTCAAAAGCTGTCTGTGCTTGACACGAGCCGTGCTGGCCGTCAGTGACGGTTGGCCTTTGACACGGTCCGCACCGCTGGCCTTATGACTCGCCTGTCCGTAAATGACGCGCCCATCCCACTCTCCCCGCAGATGATCCGGTACCTGAGCCTGTGCCTGCAGCACCAGGCGGCTCCTGACCGACCCGTCAGCACGGAGCTGGTCCGCGGCCGCGCCGCCGGCCTGGGCGCGGCGCTCCAGTCGCCGGCGCTCGCCGCGCCCGTCGAGACGTTCCTGGCGCTGACGATACGTCTACTACGCGCCAGTGTGACAGATGCGCCGCTGTTCTGTCTGCTGGAGACGGTGGCGGCGGCGCCCGGCCGACTAGCGCCGCTGCTAGCCGACCAGCTCGACTGGCTCAAGGTAAGACGAGAACCGGCTGAGTTTACGGCTTCACTGTGATCACTGTAAGTTACGTAAGTTACGGACTCGCTTTATGAAACGAGGCCCATATCACTGTTTGGTGGTTTTGAGCAAAAGTACTGTACTGAAAGCTCATGGTACTGAAGTGAGTCCCGCTACTATTTCATTTTAGTTTATCTTTGTGTAATTAGCTTAGTTTACTGGCTCCTGGGCGGCTCAATATCAGATGAAATCTGATAGCCGAAGCGAGTTCTCTCCCACAGCCTCTGTTCCCCTCAGACGCTGGTGTGTTATCCGCGGGAGACGGTGCGCGGCCACGCGGCGGAGCTGTACGGCGTCGTGGCGGCCGCCATCCAGGACGACAAGCAGTTCGGGGAGAGCCTCCGGCTGATGCACCAGCTGGCCACCAGCAAGGTGGGGCACGGCGCCGCCGCTGGAGACGGGGGAGGGTAGTACGGTGACGAGGGGGGACTGACCAACGGTACCGGCGCAAACACGGGGAGAGCTGCACTGCTAGCGGGGAGATAATCGTGGTCCGGATACGGAAAGAATATTCTAATGGTGAAAGTGGTGGTGTTCAAGCAGGATTACGCTGGGAAGACAAACATCTTCGAACTTTGAGCGGCCTGTGCTGACCGGTCTGTTATTGCTTGGTGACTGGGTGTGTCTGAGTCAGTGTATCTGTCACAGATTGTCAGTTCTGTCTGTATGTCCACCTAGGTGCTGGAAGAACAGCACGGTGGTACGCTCGGCCTGGCTCAGTGTCTGGGTGTCTGTCTGAGTATGATGTCTGTCTGTCTGTCCACTAGGTGCTGGAAGAACAGCACGGTGGTATGCTCGGCCTGGCGCAGTGTCTGGCCCGCCGCGCCAGGGAGAACCGCCCGCCCCAGCGGACTGACGAGGTCGTCATCCAGCTGACCGCCGACCTGTGTAAGTTACCAACACCTACACACTGCGCCGCAGGGAGCAGGCTGTCACTTCCGCTCGGTATACGCGGCTACATATTTTGAATGCATAGCGGAATATGCAGCCACAAATTAATTGTGATATGTGAATGCGTAGATAGTTCTCAGCTGGATAAGTTCGCATGTTAGTCGCTTTGTTTCAGTCGGACCGCCCTTCGTCGTATCTTCGGAGTCAATGGGGCCAGTTGCGGTAGTATTCCCAGCCGAATGAGGTCACAATGTGCTGCTGAATAGGCATCTGTCATGACTGTGGGAAGGTCTCTGCCTGGTGCCATGTGGCAGCTCTGCTGCATGTGTGTACACCCCCGCTTTACGCCACTGACGCCCTGCGTCCCCGTCCTCTGGACCGCAGTGGCTCACCTGGAGTCGAGCCAGCCGGCGCTGCAGGCCGCCTGTCTGAGCTCTGTCTCCGAGCTGGGCAGGACCGGGCCGCTGCCGGTGGCCGCCGGGCCGGCCGACCAGCGCAGCCCGCCGTCACTGCACTACGTGGTCACCACGCTGCTGAAAACGGCCACCAGCAAAAAGCTGCCCTCCAAGGTAGGACGTACAGCCCGCTCCAATCAACATACACCAGCTGATGTACCAGATGGCTGATATTTTTTATGTGAGTTGTAACAGCATGTTCTGTCACCAACTTATCTCAAATAAGCGTTCTGGCAGTTAATATTTACAGAAGCACACAAGAAGCTGAAGTCCATAGCAAAATCAAAATGTTCGGGTTTTTCTGGTAGGTTATACACCTCGAATGGCTGATGAAAATATGCTGCGCTTCGTAACCCGTCCGTCTTTCTCTACAGATGCGTGAGCGTGCCATAGTCGCCTGCGGTCTGGTGTGTGTGGGCGACCCCGGCCTGGCGTTCCGACGGGAAATAGTGGAGCACTTTCTGTCCGTCTCCAGCGAGGTTAGACTCGGCACCGAGCTGACGCTGGTTTCTTGCATCCTAGCACGACTCCCGCTGGGTGCCTGTGATTTGTGCTTTCAGGTATAGTGTCCCCGTCCGCTCTGGGTTCGCTGTGCCAATGACGGTCTCCCCCCCCCCCCCCCCTGGGTCTGGCTGATGGTCTCTGATAGCCTCCCTTGGGTCCGCCGTGTCCAGCTGATCGCTGATGATCCCCCTTGGTCTGTCGTGTCTTCACGGTCTTCCCCGGCCCGCCGTGCCGCCAGCTGGACGAGCTGGAGCTGCAGATGGCCGTGGGCGAGGCGCTGGTGGGCGCCGTGCTGGGACCCCAGTCGCCGGAGGCGGCCGACCCGTGGCGGCCCGCCGAGCCCGGCCAGACACCGGAGCAGCCGGCCGGCGCCGAGCCGCACCGGCCCGAGCAGCTGCTCACCTGGCTGCTGCGCCAGCTGCTCGAGAACCAGCTCACACAGGTGAGCGTAACCGTCCCAGCTGCTCGAGAACCAGCTCACACAGGTAACAGCCGCAACTTACACAGGTAACTGTCCCTGCAGTTACGTAGTGCTCGATGGACAGTCGCGGATTAAAGTGGTATTTTCTAAAAGAATGAAGCATGCAAACCCATGCTGATTTCGCAAGGTATCATACGTACCGTGAATTACGTATTGCTTACTGCTTACTACATAGAATCATACCGCGGCATTTGTGTACGGTTCACCTGAGACCCGAACCTGTTGTGTTTTGTGTACCGCAGACACACCCGAAGGTGCGTCAGTCGGCCGCCGTCTGGCTACTAGCCCTGGTGAAGCACTGCCAGCATCTGCAGCGGCTCAAGGACAAACTGGCCGACATCCAGGCGGCATTCATGGAGCTACTCGCGTCGGGAAACGGTACGTTTTGAGTGAGGGTCGACCGTGGTGTATTGATGCCAAATTTTTTCGATTTTTTTCGATATTGTCCTTCCTTTGTGAACTGACTGCAGGTTTGGAAGGCATTCGTGATTCTCAGGTGCAGCTTAAGTTTCGAGTGTCTTCAGTCTTGCTATACGTTCACGCTTGTCCGCCGTTGTAACTATGAGCCTCTCCCGTCTCCCAGACGCTCACTGAGTCCTTTGCTCGGCAGACCTGGTGCAGGAGGCGGCCTCCAAGGGCCTGGCGCTGGTGTACGACTCTGGGGACGAGCAGCAGCGGGCGACTCTGGTGGACGGCCTGGTGGGCGCGCTGACCGGCTCCGCCGCACGGCCCGCCACCCAGAAGGTCACCGCCGACACCAAGCTGTTCGCCCAGGGAGAGCTCGGCAAGGACCCCTCAGGGTGAGACAAAGGGCGCGGCCTTGTGGTAGGCTGTGAGTAGATCCATGTGAGTAGGACTCGTCGTTGCTGCGACCGCCGCCCGAAAGTGTGTGATGTCGCCATGTCTTGATAGCAGTTGCTGATTTCGTCCAACACCAACTGTCTCGCTGCCGCAGGGGCCAGCTGTCCACATACAAGGAGCTGTGCTCGCTGGCCTCCGACCTGAACCAGCCCGACCTCATCTACAAGTTTATGACGCTGGTCAACCACAATGCGGCGTGGAACTCCCGGCGCGGCGCGGCGTTCGGCTTCTCCTCTATCGCCTCCAAGGCGGGCGAGGCGCTGACGCCGCACCTAGCCAACATCGTGCCAAAACTGTATCGGTACGTACTGGGCGCTGGGAGCGCTGTCTACACGGGTCGCCCTTCGACCCTTTTCACGCTCACGGTAGACCCTGACCTCCGCTGTCCTGAAGAGCATGCATTGCATATTGTAACTAGGAGTCTCGCTGTCGGATCCTATTTTTCGATTACGCTCAACCACCTGTAAGAATCAGTCTAGCCAGTGCCTGGCCGACATTTCAGATAATATGCTTGAAGTACTGTAGTACAATTTCCTGCTGTGTTTTCTCTAAAATATTCCCGAGTTATTCGTTCACTACACTGTCTGGGTACCGGGGCAGTCCGTGTCCGTTTTACGTGCAGCTGACCAGTGACCAGACCAGTGTTACCAACCAACCACTGACCAGTGCCCCGTCCCCGTCAGGTACCAGTTCGACCCGAAGCCGCAGGTGCAGCAGACGATGCGCTCAATCTGGTCCTCGATCGTTCCCGAGTCGACCAAGACGGTTCAGCTGTATCTGCCCCAGATTATGGACGAGGTCAGTTATGTGCCGTGTATGACAAGTGCTAGCCGCCTCATGGACGGCCTGTGGCGAGTGGTGTCTGCTGAGCCTGTGGCGAGTGGTGTCTGCTGACTCCCCTGTCTGTGTGACAGGTGCTGGCCCGCCTGACGGACGGTCTGTTTAGCGGGTAGTGTTGGGTAACTCCCCTGTCGTTCTACAGGTGCTGGCCCGCCTGACAGACGGCCTGTGGCGGGTGGTATCTGCTGAGCCTGTGGCGGGTGGTGTCTGCTGAGCCCCCTGTTTGTCTATGTGACAGGTGCTGGCCCGCCTGACGGACGGCCTGTGTCGGATGGTATCTGCTGAGCCCCCTGTTTGTCTGTGTGTGGCAGGTGCTGGCTCTGACCTGACGGACGGCCTGTTTAGCGGGTAGTGTAGGGTAACTCCCCTGTCGTTCTACAGGTGCTGGCTCGCCTGACGGAAGGCCTGTGTAGCGGGTAGTGTAGGGTAACTCCCCTGTCGTTCTACAGGTGCTGGCCCGCCTGACGGACGGCCTGTGGCGGGTGCGCGAGTCGTGCTGCGCCGCGCTGGCCGAGCTGCTCTGCGGCGCCGGCCTGGACCCGGTGCTGCCGCGGCTGCCGGAGATGTGGAGCACACTGTTCAGGGTGCGAGACGACATCAAGGAGTCGGTCCGGCTGGCCGCCAACAAGACGCTGGAGGTCCTCAGCAGGGTGAGTGACGCGGGGTCGGGAACGGAGGGTCGGCTAGTCTGCTGTGCGGGGACATACAATTGCTAATACCTTCGGCGGCAAGTGACGAATGGATGTTGATGGATACGGTCCGACGCGTCCGTAGTGAAACGCTTTCTGCGCAAGTCGTTCGTCGTCAGGAGGACATGAGCCTTGTGTTGGTAACGCGTGTGTCGACCGGAGCCTGAGATGTGCGTGCTCTTTTGGCAGGTGTGTGTGCGGCTCTGCGAGCAGCAGGAGTCGGTGAAGACCAGCGAGCAGACACTGACGCTCGTCCTCCCGGTGCTCCTGGAGACGGGACTGGCCTCCACCGTCAGAGAAGTGCGGGCCATCAGGTAAGGCCATGCCATTTAGAATGTGCTTACTCGAGCCGTGTAAACTTGTGAGGTCTACCTGTCGTAGGTTGAAAGATCTCTGTGGCAGGAAAAAGAGTATCCGCCTCCGGTCCAGGCAAAAAGAAAATGGGTGGAAGCCTTATTGCTTCTCTATCTGATAAAGGGACAAACCTATTCCGCCTCGGTATCTAACAAGCTGGTCAGTTCGCTCCCGAATGCCGGTATACTATTATTAATTATTTTGTCGTCGTAGATATGGTTAACTTCCGCAAGTCTGGTGTGATTCATACCGCGACTGCTGCCGGCCGCGGAAGGCGGGCTTCTCCGGGAAATGTGCAACTCTCGGAACGGACTATGATCGGAACATGTTCCGGGTATGACCCGTCGCACCCAAGGACGACGGGACCGGTTTGTACTGCTGCCGCCGGCCGTGTTCCAAGCGAAAATGAAGTAGACGATGGGATGATTGGTGATGTATTTGTGGAAATTCCATTCGCCCTTCGGACGAATGCAAATTAAAACAGTTAACATTTTGTTTCCCCTTTGCTTGTTTTATATCGATATGGAGCCCCTTAACGGACGGAAGTTTAAATATTAGTCACTTGGGCTAATGGGCACTGGATAGTGGATAGCATGCCTTGATTGCCTATTGCCCATTACCAAACTTGCGCCCCCAACCCATCAGGTCTTATTGCGTCCTGACGCTTTTAACGTGTGCACCGATTAACGTTGGAGGCTGCTTGGTAAAAAAGTAACTTTCGATGTTGAACGGCCTGATTGTCGATTGCGTGAAAATTAACATTTTTACTCGTATTGTACGTCAAAAAAAGTTTACTATTGAACTTGACGCTGTGATAAATATCACAAATGAGATGCAATGAAGCCGTTATTAAGATACTATTGTCCGGTGCCAAAAGTGTTTATTTGTACTTAATTATCAGCGATTTCGTACTAGACACCTATGGGGGCCTGCTGGGCACTCATTGGGGCTTCAGATGAAGCGAATGGGGGTAAAAACATCACAAACAATCAAATCACAAACAATCAAAGCACCGCACTGAGCTGGCTGAGGATCCAGTCGATGTAGGCCGACACCTTGGTGTACAGTCCGGGGAACTCGGGGTTGCCGCAGCCGACGCCGGTGGAGACCACACCCACCAGCTGGTAGGTGTCGTTCTCCAGACGCACCATTAGCGGGCCGCCCGAGTCGCCGCGGCACGCGTCGCGCGGCTCGCCGTCCCGGCTCTCGGCGCACACCTTGGTGCCCTGGAAACCGCCCGGGAAGCGAGTGTCGAACTGCGGCACGCGCCGGTAGGCGGTCTCACAGACGGATGGGTCGGCCACGCGCAGGGCCACCTCCTGCAGAATGTCCGAAGTGTTCCCACCGAACTCGAGCAGGCCCCAGCCGGCCATTTCCACGTCTCGTCCGACGTGGTCGGCGCCGGCCGGCGGCAGGCAGATGGGCGACACGTCCCTGGTGACAGTGACGGGCGCCGCCAGCCGCACCACGGCCAGGTCGTTCTGCGCGCCCACGTACTGCGGGTGGCGCACGATGCCGGAGACGTTCCGCTGCTGGTGCTCCACCTCGTCCAGCCGGTTCAGGTCGTTGTCACCGATGCGCGCGCCGACGGTGCCGGCCTCCTCTGGTCGCAGGCAGTGGGCGGCCGTGAGCACGTGCCGGTCGGTGATGAGGGTGCCGCCGCAGAACCAGCCGCCCAGACCGGCGTCCGTCCACCGGCCGAACAGCACCATCCACGGCCACTTGCCCACAATGGCGTTGATGCCTCCCACGGCTGCCTGGATCGGTGGCTCGGTGGAGAGCTCTGCGACTAGTTGCGGTATCGGTCTAGCCATCTCGAAGTCAAAGGTCGGCGTGTTTGCGCTGCGTTTAAGCCTGATGAATCGTACGGTCTCTCGGGGCAGACCGCACTGTTCTGGCAGCGGTGACGACGGCTCCGGGACGGGCGGCTCGGGCATAGGTCCTCCTGTGACCGGTCCTGTGACCTCCGGACCTCCCGAGATCTGCCACGGAATCGCCACCTGATCGGCCGGGCAGCAAACGCGGGAAGCCATGCCGGAAAAGCCGCAGATCTGCGGCGGGTGCCTCGACAGATCCTCCCTCGTTTTGTACAGCGCGCACTGACGAATATTGACGCACTTTTTGCTGGTATCACCACACAATTTCCTCACAGACGGCGTGAACATCAGCTCGGAGCCTGAACTCGCACCAATGACTGCGGCGATGGCCGCTAAATAGCACCACTGGGCGCGCACCATAGTGACAGCGTGGCCTCCCGGCAGCCCGCCTCAGCACACCCGGTCCCCCGCGCTCTGTGGCACACACTGAGCGCCGGCTCGGCCACCCCCGGCCAGCGTACAAATGCCTATGTAAATTAGGTTCGCGGTTCCAGCCACTTGCGGCCGCCGTCCGGCCGCGGAGTTTGCGCAGTCGACACGTGAAGAGGTTACATATAAACAGTGCCGGATTTCGGTCCGTGCGGCCTCAGTCTCCACTGCCTGCACGGATCTGTTCACCGAGCTGTCATCTGCGCAGCCGTAATGTTTGCACAGCTCGCAGAATCTGCTCGGCCTCGACTGTGACTCCGCCGCTGACCCAGAACATTATTTTAGCCCTAGTGGTACCTCGATGTTTTTTTTTTTGTGAAAATAAGGTTAGGAAAAATAGGTCAAGCAGCAATGTATCCTCAAAGTTCATTGTTCGTGAAATTTAGTTCTTAAATTACAAAGTTTTATGTAAAGTCTTAATGTAATTGCCCCGGCTCTGATCGTCTCACTGGACAATCAACGCTGTCGCCGCGATAAAGCAGCGCCCTTTGCGCCAGCACCCTTTTTCGCCCTTTGTTTTGTAGCACGTTGAGTTCCTATTCCTATGTTCAACATATTAGATGGCACGTTGCGTCAAAGATCGATCGCCTTTAAAATAGTCAAAGATTTTCACCTTAAATGTTAAATCCTCTCACATACTATGCCTCAGTTGAAGGGCCATTGGTTTTATGGCAGCACCCTTCATTATTTGCAACACACCTACTCTTGTAATGCGTGATGCCGAACGTTGCAGCAAAGCACGACCCACATCCGTCCAGCCGCCTTTCTTACCGTTTTTGGCGATTACAATCGTCGACCAGGCCGAGCGGACGGCAGTTACATGATCGTGACGACAGGAGCAGCTATCGGACTTCCCGCAGCGCGGGCGCCGAACACAGAAGCGCTCCTTTGGCGCTGGTCGGTCATGCGCAGGAGATTGTCAGTCCGTGGGGAATGCCACTTTAGCTCCGCCTCGACGAACGGGAACAAAGGCCGCTGCTCGGTCTGTGACTTGTCTTATGGATTTTACAACTACATGTTAACATGTATATGGACGTTCACTAATCACTGATCCTCACGGAATCTGAAGACACGGTGCAGCATTCACGACGTATCAGATTCGGGTCGAGTTGTTCATCCTTCACTAAATTTGTTCAAGGGAGTTTGATATGGTAAGCTTTATTTTGTGTTTGTGACTCTTGGTTATTTGTGACTGCACTGGCATTTTCACAGCCGCAAAAGATGGGGTTTGATCGGAACCTCCCCTCCCCCCCCCCCACACACACACCCGCAGCCGTTCGTTCCCTGATCAAGCTGGAGCTTCACGGAAAAACCGAGCATCTTGCTTTTGACGAGAGGAAGCCGATGATGCCCAATTTTAAGGTCCTAGGTCATCGGATTACCGTTCATGTCAGTTCAATGACCCGAATGTCGTGAAAATTGGGACCTGATAGAATATTTTGAAATGATATTGTTCGCAGTCTTTAACCTCCCCCAGCCCCTTCCCCGTAGGTGCGAGAGTTTAGTCAATTGGAGGGAGTTCAACGTTGTCTCTTTTTGCTCACCCTAAACGACCAGGGGAAGAGCAAAGTATGTCAATCACCCATTGAACATGAACTTTGTAGAACTTTCAATGCCACTTTCGATGGTCTTTAATAACATGACCGAAGGACGTCTTCAAACTATGTTTGCTTTTCTGTCTACCACCTCAGACGCATCTTTCACTTGGTCGCGTCCCATCGTGTCAATTACGTTTTCTTTTTATATTTCATTTAGCTAGTCCAACATTCAGACAGACAGCAGTGAGCAGACAGCCATTAGTTACGGAGCTCATACGCACCTCGGGCTTCACAGATAATTTATTGGGCAACACCAGGCTATCATCAGTGAAGCTATCGTTGCTGGAGCTTGGTGAGACCTACCTAGCTAAGCGGGGTTTACAGCAATTCATTATTCGGATACTTGAAATAACTAGAAATAATTATTTACGACCTGGCGTACACGATTTACATTACCCTCGCGATTATCGATTCTGCCTTTGAAAATTTATCTAACATAGCCGTAACCCTCGCTAGTCGTGGTTCTTCCACGCCATCGCAAGATAGTTTACAGGTTACTATGTGTTGTTTTACTACCAGCAATATGAGGTTAACTATTGGATCCACATCAGGCCTTCCTAGTATCACCGACTTGTAATCATTTATTTGCAGCCTAAACCTTTCCTTAATCAGACTTAATATTGCTCCCCACAAAGGCTTTACATCAGCGCACTCAAAGAAAAAGTGTTTGAGGTCGTCTACTACAAAGCACTTATGACACAGCGGGCTTCCTATAACATCTCTGGTATACAAATAATGACGAGTGGGAATGTACCTGTTAATAATTCTATAATGTAATGATTGCAATCGCGTTGAACTTGTACATTTGTAGGGTATTTCATATATTGCCCGCCAGCTGCGTGGACGAATCCCGTAATGAGCCCACCTGCCAACAGCTGCCGGCGTTCTAGGCTCCGTCAGCATTCTGTAAATGTGGCGACTTCCCACCTGCTCGATTGGCAGCCTTTTGCCATCTATTTTAACGGTGATACTAGTGCGGCTGGTCAGATCCAATTTACAGCCCGGGTTCTGACGCAGTACTGTTTTCCATCGGTCTGGAATCGCGGCTGCAATGCTTTGGATCGTCAAAAAATCAGTTTTTATTGATGGATATTTGAGTCTAATTTTGCAGCTATTCATAATTTTTCCCTCATCATCAACAATATCGTTAATTAACTTAACGCCGTTAAGGTACATGTCTCTAATAAAAAGCGGCTTCCCTCTGATCACTATCTCGTCATTATGCCACACGCTTTGTAATTTAATTGCCGATGCGTCGTTGACGTCTTCCTGGCACAGGCTTTGGAAGCTTGTAATGACTTCCTTATAATACACCGGTATCTTCAGTAGATTTAAAAAGTACTTGCAACTTTTGATCTTAAGTATATCACTAAGATTAAATTCTCTTAATCTTAACTGCAATAGTTTTCTCCAAGCCGCTCCCGTGTCTTTAGCCATGCGTTTAATCCAGTTAAATCGCAAAACCGTGTAGAAGAGCTCCACGTCAACGGCATTCAGGCCACCATTTTTTATGCTTTGGCAAAGTGTACCTTTCGCTACTTTGGGAGGCCTGCCTCTCCAAATAAACCTCATAACTTCACTTTGTATTTCTCTCAAATCTACCCTTGCGATCGTACAGCACGATGCTACAAACACCAGCTGTGAGGCCAACAGTGCTTTGGCAATCACGACTCTACCCTTTATTGTAAGACTTCGCTGCTTCCATAAATTTATGGTATTTTTTACTTTTTTGACAATGGGGGATGAATTATCTTCATTACATAACTCTGTAGCACTAAACCATATTCCTAAAATTTTGACCTTTCCGTGGGCTTCGATGCCACATACCGCCTCTCGCTTTTGACGCATCGTTCCCAGCCACATAATATTACACTTCTGTATGTTAATAGCGAGACCAGACACTAATTGGAAATCGTTTAGCATTTCTAGCACATTATGCACAGAATCTGGCTCATTCAGAAACAGAGTCATGTCATCCGCATATTGGGTCAACTTTATTTCCTCACCAGCAATTTTGATCCCCCTTATGTTTGCCGACGCCCTAATCTTAATCGTTAACATTTCCACAGCCAAGTTAAACAACAAACCGCTAAGCGGTGAACCTTGAAAGGTTCCTCTGGCACACTGGCACATCGATTTACGTTACCCGACGAACTTTTCCAAATGATGTGATGAAACGTCTTGTAAAAATGATCAGTTGTCAGCATTGTGCACAAAAGAAGGCGAGAAGAGCGCCAGATGCGTTCTTTTCGCTCCGGGTCATGTGAGCTGGCTGAAGATCCAGTCGATGTAGGCCGACACCTTGGTGTACAGTCCGGGGAACTCGGGGTTGCCGCAGCCGACGCCAGTGGAGACCACACCCACCAGCTGGTAGGTGTCGTTCTCCAGACGCACCATTAGCGGGCCGCCCGAGTCGCCGCGGCACGCGTCGCGCGGCTCGCCGTCCCGGCTCTCGGCGCACACCTTGGTGCCCTGGAAGCCGCCCGGGAAGCGACTGTCGAACTGCGGCACGCGCCGGTAGGCGGTCTCACAGACGGATGGGTCGGCCACGCGCAGGGCCACCTCCTGCAGAATGTCCGAAGTGTTCCCACCGAACTCGAGCAGGCCCCAGCCGGCCATTTCCACGTCTCGTCCGACGTGGTCGGCGCCGGCCGGCGGCAGGCAGATGGGCGACACGTCCCTGGTGACAGTGACGGGCGTCGCCAGCCGCACCACGGCCAGGTCGTTCTGCGCGCCCACGTACTGCGGGTGGCGCACGGTGCCGGAGACGTTCCGCTGCTGGTGCTCCACCTCGTCCAGCCGGTTCAGGTCGTTGTCACCGATGCGCGCGCCGACGGTGCCGGCTTCCTCTGGTCGCAGGCAGTGGGCGGCCGTGAGCACGTGCCGGTCGGTGATGAGGGTGCCGCCGCAGAACCAGCCGCCCAGACCGGCGTCCGTCCACCGGCCGAACAGCACCATCCACGGCCACTTGCCCACAATGGCGTTGATGCCTCCCACGGCGCCAGCGGCTAAGTCGCTGTCTGTAGGAGAGCCTGGCGCTGGATTCTGGAAAGGCGCCTGGAAAGGGGTCTGGCGTTTGAACCTTCGTCGAACAGTTGGTCGTGGCTTTCCGCACTCTCCTACTGGTAAAACCGGCGTAGGCACGCCTGTCAAGGGGCCCGCGTCGCAGCACACGCGGGGCACCAGGGCGGAGAACCCGCACGGCCGCGGCCGGTGTCTGTGAATCTGCTCCGCCGTCTGGAAGGCGGCGCACTGGTGGATGACGGTGCAGCTCTGGTTGGGGGCGCAGGACGTATGGACGCCGATGGCCAACTGCCAGGAGAGCGCGGCGCACACCACCGTGGTGTGCAGGGCGATTGAGCCGAGTCTCGCCATGGTGGTGTCGACAGGGAGCTGCGCCGGCCGCCGTCCAACTGGCCCTCCCGGCCTGCACTGAGCTGGCTGGCGCGCCGCATTTCGCTAATCATCGACCATGCACTCGTCGGGCACTACATGGGACCGGTTTTGGATACCGTGGAGTACCGCAGTTGTCGTGCACTGCATAGGTACAGTAGTTAGGTACCGCGCCACCGGCATCGCGTGTCAGTACCAAACAGAATCTATTAATAGCACCACGGAATGGACTGGTCCGAACAAACGAGCCTCGTGCATATTGTTTAGAAAAGTTAATATAATCCAGCTCTTTTCTGGTGCATTATGACGTTGCATTCACGGAATTGCTCAATGGGCTTTTGGTCGGCTGCATGTTTACAATATGTGAAACCCATCTCGTGTGGACCTCCGGGCTTCGACAGCTTGTGAATTGGACATCGACGTCACGACTCGATTGTTTAATGAGAACAAAAAAGTAACTACACGAAGACGCTAACTTGAAGTTGTAAAAAAGTTCTGGGGATGTTGCGGAGATTCCTGTACTATCGCGTGCTTGTGTGTTGTGTAGCTGTTCTGTCGAAGCGTTATAATGCCTTTTTATTATTCAATTAAGACAAAAGACGCATCCATCATTGCCTGAGGACGGAGGAGTACCGCGACTGAGTCTGAGAGCAGCGTACCATTGGCGTACCTCACCAGACTGCCGTCCCCCGGGTCGCCGTTTGTGCGGACTGTCTGACCGACCCCCTGTCCGGCAGCCTGTCCACGGTGGTGCGCCTGTCGCGGTCGGCCGGCGCGCGCCTGCGGCCCCACCTGCGCCTGCTGGTGCCGGCGCTGCTGGAGGCGCTTTCCACGCTCGAGTCGGCCACGGTGCGGCACATCAGCGTGGCCGTGGGCCACCAGGCCGACACGCAGGAGGCGGTCGACCGCGCCCGGCTCGCCGCCACCAAGGAGTCGCTCATGTTCAAGACGCTGTGCCAGGTGCGTGTCGACCGGTCGGGAGGAGAGCAGCGGCAGCAGGGGCAGCCCAGCTCTGTGACGGGCTCTGACGGGTGTGCAGCTGCATGATTGGTAGCATTTGACTGGCGTCTGCGTTGTAACGCTGGAAAAGTAAGCTACGAACATGCTTATACTTGTTTCGGGGGAACACACTAATTGGGAGACCGGGACATGACGGCCGCAGTGACCGTATCTGACGTTCCGTAGTGAGTGCCGCCCCTGACTTGCTGGTTTGAGCCGTCCCTGACGTGCCGGTAGCGCGTGTCGTGACGTGCCGGTGCTTTGTGCCGCAGTGCATCCAGTACGTGGACGCCGCGGAGGCCGCCGAGATCGTGCCGCGGCTCTCTGAGCTGATGAAGCGCAACACCGGCCTGGGAACCAAGTGCGGCGTGGCGCTGTTCGCCACCCGGCTGGCCGCCGAGAGGCCGCTGGCGCTCCAGAACACGGCAGGTCAGTGTAACAGAACACGGCAGGTCAGTGTAACTGAACACGGTTAGGTAGGTCGGTGTAATAAAACACGGCAGGTCGGTGTAACAGAATAGTGAACATGGCAGGTTGGTGTAACGAAACGCGGCATGTTAGTGTTACTAAACACTGAGCACGGCAGGTCAGCTGTGCTGCGAAACACGGCAGGTCAATACTACGGAGATCCTGCAGAACGCAACCTTGACCATCCGTGTCTGTAGCAGAAAATGTGGCACTGCTGAGCTGTTCTACTTCAAACTATTCGACGTGTCTGTGACAGAGAAGGAAGTTAATAAGTGCCGACTCTGACCGCCCGTGTCCGCGACAGGGAAGGTGCTCTCGGTGCTGGTGACCGGCATGCAGGACAGGAACGTAACGGTGCGCCGCTGCTCGGCGGCCGCCTGCGGTAACGTCTGCCGCGCTGCCAAAGCCTCCTCGGTGGAGAAGCTCATCGCCAAGCTGCGCACCTGGTACATGGAGGGTGAAGGTAGGCATACGCACTTGCTGGGAGGAGCGCGCTCTGTTTTAGTGAGGCAGGTGACGGACATATGGCTAATTGCCTGGCCACGTCAAGCTTCCGTAACATCGACGCCTCGTTCGTAAATTACAGTCTGCGACTGACTACAGCGCTCTGGAACTGCAGTCAGTCAGTCATTGTGTGATATGGTAGATACTTGCTGAAGCCATCCGAGCTGATGTTCACACGGCTAGTTACTCCGACATTAGCAGTCACTCGTTCCAGTTTCAGCGTTTCAGATGAGGATCGCAGTCTGCGCTGAGGCGTCAGGCCATTGAGTCAGGTCATTCTACTGCGGTGTTTCAGACGAGAGTCTGCGCCCGGTCTGCGCCGAGGCGCTACAGTCGCTCAGTCAGCACGGCTCGGCCCAGCTCAAAGAGCACGCCGCAGACGCCGCCAGTCTCGCCTTCTTCGCCATGCACCGACAAAAGACGACGGGTGAGTCGGACGAACGCTGTCTGACATAATCGGATTGTTATGCGATATGGGAATGTCTACCTATTTTAATTAGTATCTCGTTAAGGTATCTTACAACCGTGTCCATTCGATGGTGTGTGAAGCTGGTGATAGATGTTTGCTGTGTGCCGTCGTCGTGTGGTGGGTACCGTTGGCAAATATCCGACCGGTGCCGGTCGCCGAGGTCGGCCGCTGTTTGGAACCCTGTGGATGGAGCTGTGACCGATACTGTTCCGTGACTGACGGTGCCGTCCCCCGCCAGAGACGGAGGCCGAGATCGCCCGCTGGCAGGAGGTGTGGAACGAGCTGTCTCCCGGCACCGAGGGCGGTCTGCGGCTCTACCTGAGCGACATCGTGCCGCTGTGCCGCGCCGCGCTGGCCGGCCAGTCGTGGCCGATGAAGGCGCAGGCGGCCGGCGCGCTGGGCGCCGCCGCCGCCCGGCTGTCGGCCGGCCTGCCCGCCGACCAGCTGCACGCCGTGCTGGACGCCCTGCTGACCGCGCTGCCCGGACGCACCTGGGACGGCAAGCACGCGCTGCTGGCCGCCCTGGCCGACGTGTGTCAGAACTGCGCGGCCGCCGTGCCCGACCGGGACCGGCTGGCCGACGCCGTGCTGGCCGAGGCGGCCCGCGACAAGCCCGAGTACAAGGTGCACGCGGTGGCGGCGGCCGGCCGCGTGCTGCGGGACCTGCAGCTGGACAGGTTCGGCCGGCTGCTGCAGATCGTGGAGCCCTACCTACAGGTGGGTGGGCTGGTTACTGGCAGTGAGAGTGGCGATTCAGCGACGACGGTGGGGGGGGGGGAGCGACTCAGTTACGGAAGTGCGAGGGGAGCGAATCAGCGACGGCGGGAGTCTATGGGTGCTGTATCATCGCAGCAGATCTCGTAAGGTGAGCGGGGGCTTACTTTTTGGTATCGTTATTTGATTACATGGAATTGGTCCAGTTTGGGTGTTGATCCTCATCACGCTACAAGCTCGGTGCCGTAGGTTAGACCCACGACTGAAGGGTATGAGAGATGTGAGTCGCACTGTGCCGCCGGCAGGCCGAGTCCAAGTCTGGTGACGGCAGCGGCGACGAGGACGAGATGGGCGCTGCCACCCGGCTCCAGCTGCAGGAGGCCGCCTACACGGCGCTGGGGCGCGCCTGGCCCGCCGACGCCGCCACTCAGGGTACGGAGTGACTGTAACTCTCCCTACACGGCCTAAATCGTCGACGCCGCTACACATGATACGGAACCGCCGCTTTGAGCTTACTACCATCCGCGCCGTTGAATTACTGCCTGACCCAGGTTGTCTGATTAGACCCCTTGACTGCCTGTCTGAATCCGCCAACGTGTCTGAATTTGCTGTCTGAATGTGCTGTAGCCTCTAAGGCCTACCGTGGATGGTTCTGCTGCCGGTCATCTGTCATGTCAGTGTCCGAGTCTGCCGACTGCCATCGTCTGAGCCCGCCAACTGTCTCGAGTCCCGCGACTCTCGCTGTCTAGTTCCCCTCCGAGTGTGTCCCCACTTGACCTCGCCATCCCTGACTTTTTCAGCCGAGTTCTGGCCGCGCTACATGGCGCTGCTGGCGGCGGCCATGCCCCGCTCGACACGCGCGCACCAGCTGTCCATCGTGACGTCACTGCGCGCGGTGGTCGACCGCCTTTGGCTGCTGAGGACGCCGAGCGCCGAGCACGACCAGAGTGCGCTGACAGAGGCGGCCAACCAGCTGGGCGCCGTCCTGGCGCTGGCGCTGGGTGAGTGACGCGGCGCGAGCTCCGAGTGGGGGTCGGGGTCCGGGGAAGGGGAGGGTTGGCGAGCGTGGCGAAGCCTTGTGGCTGAGTGACGTTATTTAAGTGTGGATATTGTTGAAATTCAGGGTAGAGCTACTCGTTGATTTCTGATGTAGAGCTACTCGCTGACTTCTCGCTGAACGCTGATTTTTGTTCTGCAGAGACGCCCAAGTATCCGAGCCTGCGGCGCGAGGCGGTGGCTGTGACGCTGGCGGTGCTGCGCGCGGTCGGCGAGCTGCGCGACACGCGCCGGTTCCCCGTGCTGGCGGCGGCCGGCGCGCTCAGCGTCCGACTCACGCCGGCGCTGCAGGCCGCCGCCGACGACGCCAGCCACGACATCCGCGACGACGCGGCCGACGCGGCGCGCCTGCTGACCAAACTGGCGCAGTGAGCCGCCGCTGCCGCCGTGTCGGCCCCGTCCGCCACACTCAGTACCGTCCGAGTCTGTTCGGGTGTGCGCTGTGGATGACTGCCGAGATGACGAGCTAGCTAGCACGAGCTCCGCGCGCGTGCTGTGCTCCAGCACGCGCGCGGAGCTCGCCGCGCTGCTGGCAGCGCTGGAGGCAGTCGCTGAACTGCCGAGAAGCGCGGGCCTGCCGGTGGTCGCCTGCCTGGACTCCAGGGCGGCCCTGCTAACGCTGGCTGCAGGCGCCTCGGCCCAGACCACAACACTGGGTGCCAGTGTGTGGACCCAACTGCTGCGCCTACAAGCAAGCAACAGCTCAATTCACCTCCAATGGGTACCGGCTCACTGCGGGCTCCCGGGTAATGAGAGGGCGGACGCATTAGCGAAGGAGGCGGCCGGGATGTCCCAGCGGACGACGCCGGTCGACGCCCGCACCCTCACGCGGGCTGCTGCGCGGGTCGCCGGCAGGGAGTGGCGAGCGAGCCGGCCTGCGGGCTGGTACCGAGACGTCATGGCGGACCGCGCCCCCGACCCGGTCCGAGCCGCTACCAGGGAGGAGGCCATCGACATACATCAACTCCGATCGGGACACTGGGGACGGTCGGAACAATATCTCCACCGCATTGGGCGCAGACCGACACCCGAGTGCGCTCAGTGCAACGACATCACATGCCCGGCGGGCCGTTGTCTCGTCTGTGGCGAGGCCGCGGACACCCCGGCGCACGTACTACTGGAGTGCCCGTGCCTGTTCGGCCCCCGCCTCCAAGCGCTGGGTAACATCACAGGCACGGCCCGAGACGTACAGCGCGACGACGTGGTGGCGGCCTTGGCCGCCGGCTACGCGGCCCACAAGAGCCGCGTGGCTCCGTCACCGCCTCGGCGGTGACCGGGAGGAACAACAACAACAACAACAACAGCTAGCTGAGATGACGGGAAAGCTGAGGTGCTCATTGATTGGTATTTTGATGGTGAATTGAATTAATATACTTACTGTGACCGATCAGACCTCGTTTCCGATATGGGACACAGTCGCTGGAACTGAAAGTCAGCTCAGCTACTGGTCGGTTGGGAGGTCGCCGGGACATCGTGCAGTGCTGCACTGCGCTGAACTGCAAGTCTTGCTTCGGTCGAGTGAGCTTCCTCACAGCCTCTGAAAATCACATGGCTTTGGGGACTGCCGCCTCCTGACACCATCCGACGCAGTTGCATGAGGGGACAGCGTTGTTTATGGTGCGGTAAAGTTGCCGGCTGTCCTCAGACGAGCTCGTCATATTATCAGCGCACGCTGTAGGTAACTCCCATTTGTGGTCGCTGGCGGCCTGGTTAACGGTCTCCTTGCACCCGCCTGGCGACTGTCCGTTCCCGGAGGTCGACGAACTCGCCCGCCCTCCGGCGGCTGGGATGCATCTCGGCTTGTGACGTAGCCGCATTCAAGGCTGGCGAAGCGAGCGGTTCGCTTTGCGAGAACCCAGCTAAAATGACGTCATAGTTTGAAAAAAATGTTTGAATTTGGAAAAAATACGGTGAGCAGGAGTGACATATTTCCGTTTCCTTTGCTCAAATTCAGCCACATTTTATTGGATCAAAACATAATAAAAATTAACTCTCCCGACAAGCCAGAACACAAATGAGACACAGGATGGACATTGGACACAGTGGTATTTATCAGCTGATTGGCTCTGAATCTGTGACGTCAATATTTAACTTGTTTCATTCACTTTGTTTTGAATGCAATAAAATAAAACAAAATTCGTTTCGATCGCGGCAGTCGGCGGAGGGACGCGGGGGGGTGCATTTATTAGGTGAGTTTGATGCCGATTTGTTGAATAATATTATCCATCGCATCCCTGATAACGTTCTCGTAAAACAGTTGCAGGAACTTTTGGTTTCATGGCAAAGGAAAGCTGGATATTGAGATGTATTATGAACGGTTGCCACGTCAACATCAACATGTTTCAGCTCAAGCTTGGGATACAAAATCAAAAGGTGTCAATCCTGATAAATTTTCTTCTAGTGTCTTTGGTACCTTGCTTCAAATTATATGTAACTTGGTAAGCATTGATGAGTATCGTGAAATAGTTAATTATTGGAGAAAATTGCATTTTGTACATTTAACTATTGACATGTTCACAAATTTTACACATCATTGCAAAAGGCAGAATTTGTTGATTTGGCTGGGAAACAACACCCAAATGAAAAAAAATTCATTCTCATGTCCAATGTCAAGAGCAATTTTTCACTCCCAATTCAATAAAAAGTTGATGACCCCAGTTTGAGTTGGCAACCTTAAGAAAGAAAAAAACACCTGCTTGGAGGGTCGTTTTACATTCTGCATCCTACCAAGCATATGGAGCTATGGTATTGATCCTTTTTCCACTCAGAATTTTCCATTCCCATACCATTTTTGGAAAGGATTTTAATTTTCCCTTTGACACCCAAGCCAGGATCAGAATACATTTTGGGACACTGATTTTGCATGCCCATTGCCTAGGCATAAAAAAGGTTATCAAATATAAGTAGGCCTAGGTATTCTCTATGATCTTCTAGCAGATCCAATGGAGTACTTAAAGGCTTATAATATGTACATACCTACTTACTGTGCCTAGTGACCTATAACCCAAAGACAAGTTGATGGCATTTGGTAATTTTGTGTGTTTACACTACAGATAGTTATCTACCTACCATTAATCATACTGATATCAGATTTTTGATGCTATGTAATTTTTATGGTTCATTTATTCTAATTCAGGATGCATTCATGCATTACTGTGGCTTGGCTCAATTGTTTGTTTTGTTTTTTTTGCAGAGAAAATTTGTAGCTTGATTTCAAAGGTTTATCAGGCCTGCTAGAATTGAAGGTTGATCAGGAATGGTTTGATTCACAGGCAGACATCAGAAGGGTCTGGAGTAAATTTTGTTACTAAGACTTTGATTGCAATCATACAATGATAGAAAAGTGAAATTTATCTGCAAGTAAAAACTGTAGACTTGTTACTATGCATGCACAAGGGCTGATTTGCAGAAGTTCTTTTTTTTTTTGGCTGGACAGCATATTTACCTAGTGAGCTGTCCAGTGTCCTTTAGGCTGCAAGCCCACCTACTAGACTGCACTTAAGCTGTTAAATTGATGTGGCTGAGGTTTTGGGCTGGACTTTTCACAGGATTGATCAAATTCAATTGTTTCTCCTAGCTCATGGTCATGGGGGATGCTGTGCTCAGATGTTTTGTAGTAAAGAATGGTAGATTCTGCTGGATGATGGATATGGATAAGGGTGGATGGGATTGGGACTTGGTAGGAAAGCTGAACTAGGGATGGTCCACTCTGTTAGTAGAACTCAGGCAGGTTTGGTGGGATGAGGGGCCTTCCCTCCCTGTAGGCAATTACTGGACATTGGTCACACAGGAAATGATGGGGGGGGAGGAGGCTACCTTTCTGCAGGCTCACCACTGAACAGAGGCTTGGGAGCAGTAAAGAGGTCACTATACAGTCTTGAGGTTAGGCTAGCTGAGGGATATCGTGGGTAGGACTGTGCTCTGTGGTGAGGTACTGTACTGTGTACGCTCATGGGACATTCTTCAGTTTCAGGCTGGGGCGGCGATTGTGGGGCTGCTCTGTTTATCTCTACAGTATTCTTGTATTCTTGTATTGCATAATATCACCAACAGGCATGATCCCTATGATAGGTGAAGTCAAAAGATAAAATACGAAAAAACCATGCACAATAAACTATCATAATAAAAACAGTATTCTCATGTACATTGCCCTAGGGTCTCACGGATCCGGTATAGAGGACGAGGCGCCTCTTGATGCTTCCAACAGGATCACATAACACATCAGTTTGAGGCTGGGCTTCCAGAAATTTGTTGGTGGCACGAAGGCAGCGCGTAAACAGGCCGTTTGCAATGCAGTTCACTCGCCCACGCGGCACATGGAACAATGTCGACACAGCGCTGCGTGTCGCTCTGAGCGGAGCGTGTAACGAGAACGACCGTAGAAGATGAGAGGATGACACCGAACCTTTGAATACCTTGCACAAAAATATAATGTCACTCTCAATGCGCCTGGCATGTAGCGATCTCACGTCGAACAGCTTCAGCAGGTAATGATATTCAATCGAGTCATGGTGAACGTTCGTCATGTTTGCCAGCCAAATCAAAAACTTGTGTTGGACACGTTCCAAACGCACGAGATGACACTTGGAAGCACCGGCCCAAACTACAGAACAGTACTCTAGGATGGCCCTAACATTTGCATTGAATGCCGCGAACACTGCTCTCCTGTCCAGTTTGCACCGCGGAGAGGTCGCCTGGAGGCTCCGCATGAGTAGCCCTAGTGCCCGATTCGCCTTTGAAACAATCACATTTGTATGGTCTGCAAAAGTAAGCTTTCGGTCAAGTACCACACCCAAATCACGAATCGAAGTCACTTCCTGCAGAGTGCTACCACTGATTTGATACACAGATGGATATATGTGTCTTTTGAGCGTGATTTTAAAAGTTTTACACTTCGAGGGATTCAGCTTGAGCCCCCAGACCGCCGCCCATTTCGTTACAGCATCAATATCGTTCTGGAGCCTTTGTACATCATCGTGATTTCTAACTTTCTGAAAAATCTTCAAATCATCGGCAAACATCAAGCAATCTGTCTTGACGACAGATGGCAGGTCGTTCACAAGGAGCGAAAAAAGCATCGGACTGAGCAAACCGCCCTCCGGCGTTCCTGAGACGACTGGGGCCCACTCCGACACCTTGCCGTTTAAAACAACTCGTTGCTTGCGCCTTCCTAAATATGACGACAGCCACTTCAGAGCCAACCCTCTCACACCATACATGTGTTCCAGTTTGTACAGTAAAAGACGATGGTTAACGCTCTGGAATGCACTTGAAAAATCTGTGTATACCGCATCAAGTTGGACACTCAGATATTGCGTCATATCCACTGGACAGAAAGGTAGCCAGATTTGTGGCGCAAGATCGGCCCGGCATAAAGCCATGCTGATAGGACGAAAGTAGTGGCTGAACATGATGCATGATTTGCTGACCGACTACCTTTTCGAAGATTTTGGCGCAA